CACACACACACACACACTACCCTCAGTGCTGCGTACGGCGTGTAACAGAGTGAAGCTGCGGCTCGAGCCCTTCCAGCTCGAGCCGCGGCCCATGCCGGGGCCGTGGATTGCTGCGGCAACCGATCCGGAGGCCTGGAGCTCGTACAGCCTGGCCTCCGGTGACTATGTGGAGTTCACCGCCTACGACACGTCGCACACGAAGCAGGGGACGATCCTGCCAGTGGAGCGAGGTGACGTTCTTGGCGGTGTCGGACGACCACCTTCTATGGTGGCTGAACCATGGTGCTGGAAAAGATGAAAATTGGCAGTTTGAACTGCACTTTTGCAAGGCCTCCTCCAGGGCCTGCCGTCGCACCAAACGAGGTCGAGGCCTGGACTTCCACACTGACCGCTTCCCTCGGCGACCTCGCAGACAAGAAGATCGACTGGATCAAGAAGGGAAATGCCGGAAGTATGTGGAGGAGGAGGTCGCAAAGATGGCACCGCTCCCTTACGGGGAAGGGAGGCGGTGACCAGGATGCGGCCCACGGGCTAGGCTTTGAAGATGCCCGCCTACCGCCAGCTGATCCTTCGGAGCATGATCCAGCGCTTCGAGGCCTACGCGACTTGGAGAAGGAGCTCGTCGAAGGAAAAGGAGCTCGTCGCAAGCATGCTCAGGAAGGCCCTCACGAGGGCGAAGGTGGACCCCTCAAGAGGGAGGGCCGGAAAGAGCACAAGGCCAAGAAGAAGCGGCGGAAGGATGGATCCGGCCAAGGCCGTGCTAGGTCCGCTCCGGTGGATGGCGGCGAGAAGGGCAAGTGGTTTGGTGAGACCGTCCGGGAAGACCCTAAGGACAGGTCCCAAACCGACACCATGGTCCTCAAAGAAAAAGAAGAAGGACAAGAAGGACAAGGCGAAGTCCTCTAAGGACAGGGGCCCCTTCGAGTCGGGCACGCAGATCGACTACGGTCGGGCACTCGAGGTCTCGAGCCGCTCATCTGATGATGAGCAGCGTTTTCGGGACGGCCAGCCCCCAGCTGCAGCTTCAGGAGTAGCCACTGAAGCGTCCAGGGCGACTGGCGGCCCGCCTCTTGCAGAGAATGCAGAGCATGGTCGGAAAGGAGGGGGGGCCGATCCTGAAAGGGAGCTACGGCAACAAGACGCCGCCGGTGGCGATGAACTGGGTGCTGACAGTGCTGGGCCAAAGCAGGTGCCGGTGAGAACCCTCCGCGAGATGAAGACCCTAGTCCTCCATGATCGCAGCCGGTCGAGCACACTCGGCAGCAGGCACCCTCGCTCAGTTCCTCGAGCTCCTCGATCCGGAAGGCCCAGCACTCCTAGAACGAGACGAGGCGGTGATGGCGTCGAAGGAGTGGGGTGGGGAGCTGAGGATGAAGAAACTCCAAGGAGGCAAAGGCCACGGCCAGGCAAAGGAGAGGAGAAGCCAGGAGGAAAGACCGAGACGAAAGGAGGGAAGGACACCCCAGGAGGAAAAGAAGGACCCCAGAGTGAGGCCGCCCACGGGCGTGAAGGAAGCGCTGCCGGACTACGGCGGCACCTCTGAGGAAGAGCCGGCCAGCAGCAGCAAAGCCGGCCCTGCGCCGAAGGAGACCCAGGTGGTGCCTGCAAACCCCGCGGCAGAGGATTTCCTGGACATGCTTGACGAGGGGACCCTCGACTTTGAGATCGCAGCCCTTTTTGCGTCCTGGCGCAAGAAGATCAAGGTGGTCATGTCCCGCAAGACAGGGCTGAAGCCCTTTGGCAAGGTCGCCTTCAATCGCGAGTACAGTAATCCAGAGGTGCCCCCGACCGCCGAGTCCACACCATCCTCCAGAGGCCGGACAAGGAGGAACAAGGACATCCTCCCCATCCACGCAAGCCTCATCACGCCTGCCTGATGGGCGTGACAGAGGGGAACGTGCACTGGGTCCGGGCTGTCTTCACCACCCTCAACTTCCTTTACTGTGCTGGTTGGTCCTCCCCCGTCTCTGTGCCAATCTCGCGGTCCTTGATCAGGTGCTTCGGGCTGTGGCCCGGGTTGCTGCTCAGGTCGACCGCTTCATTGCCCTTGACTTCAAGATGGGGACTGCCGAGGAGGCCATCCAAAAGTTGAAGGGAAAGAGGTTTGATACAATGGGGAGCCCATCGACCACATGATGGACCTGAACTTCGCCCACGTGCTCAAGGCGTGGCCGAAGCCGGGGTCCGCGGCGGTGGTGGTCAAGGACTGCCTGCCCGATGACTTGAAGGAGGCTTTGGAAAACCCAAGGCAATACCTCCTGGAGCTGCCAGAGCGGCACAGGGGCTCCAGGGTGAGGGCAGATGATGAGGAATGGTTTAAGATTGTGAAGGCCGGTTACGACCGAAGAATGTTCGTCGCCGTCGCCGACGAGAGGTGCCAATCCACCGGCAGGGGCACCTGATCACCAATGGGGCAGGGGCCGTCGCCAAGGTCAAAGCGGTGGATTGCAGGCTCGACAATGCGCAGAGGTACACCTCCATCCTCTGCCTCATGAATGACGCCATGCCTCCTCCCTGGAGCTCAGGACAGCCTACCCTTCATGGCCGAGAAGGACAGCTACATGGTCCTCGACTCTGAGGACCTACAGTCGGCTTTCAACCTCTTCAGGCTGGTACGGGGGGACGCCTTGGGGATGTCTAGAACCACGATGGTTCGGCCTGCCCTTCGCGTGGTGTCAATGGGATGGACCTCGGCCGTGACCCTCAACCAGGCGGCCATCAGTGCCTACGCGATGGCCAAGGTTCCTCCCAAAGACGTAAGAAAGGACCGTGAGCTCCCTGAGGCAGAGGACCACCATCCTCTACCTCGACAACTTCGATGAGATACGGTACCTGAAGAAGGAGATCGCCGAGTCGGCAGAGGGAGCCCCGTCGGAGAATCACCTTCGGTTCATCACGGCCTGCGAGATGCTTGGCCTCCCGCGGAACCTCGGCAAGCAGCTTAGCGGATCTTTGAGGGGAACCCTCCAAGGAGGAGAAATCCTGGGGAAAGAAAAGATCTTGCGTCACGCCTGCGACAAGACCTGTGAACTCGTTGAGTTGGGGCTCGGCCTCCTGAGCATGGACACCCTCAGCGAGTTCTGTCTTCGTCACTGGGCCGGTAAGGCAGCTTTCGCGGCCGCGTTCCGTCGCCCCCTACGCTGTTCTCCTGATGGACTGGGCAAGACCGGGAACGGAGATTAATTTCCCCGTGTCGGTGATGGATGAGATTCTCCTCTTCACCATCCTGGCCCCGCTCGCTGAGACCGACTTTTTCTCCCATCAGCTGCACAGATGCATCGCCTACGGGCGCCTCCATTGCTGAGGTCTTCAAGGACAAGTCCTTGCTCCTGGCCTTCCGCTCCCGGTGGAACACACGAACCTTTGTGGCACTTGCGCTTCACCGCTGGACAGGCCAACCCGGCGCATCTACCCGTGCCCTCGCAAATGTGGTCTGTCCAAGTGCACCCTCCGGTGTGCCAGGAACCATGGTCCATGGCAACGAATGTTGCCGACGTTGGTGGGCAGCGCCCGCCTTTGGGGAAAGGTTCTCGGGCCCAGGCTTTTCTTCTGACGAAGGCCGCGGGGCTGAAAGGAATCGAGACGCAGCTCCCGCTGGACATCGCCATAGACGGTGACGTCTGGGACGTCAAAACCGAGGAAGGCAAGGAGAGGCTCGAGGACTACGAGAGCGAGGGCCGGCTCAAATGGTCCCACTGGGCTCCTGACAGTCACTACGCAGCGCGGGAACTGGGTTGTTGATGCGAGCTCCTCGAGGACCAGAAGCCGCCAACCTCCGTCGAGATGATGCTGTGACGGTGCGGCAGGCGAACGCCATGGCCCGGAGATCTATCAAGGGAATGTTGGAGGCCAATCGCCGGGGCAGGTTCGCCGCCCTGGAGCATCCCTATGACTCCCACCTTTGGCGCCTGCCAAAACCAAAAGGAGGAGACTGGCATTGGAGCACCTTTTCCCTTTGCTGCTTCGGGGGGGATAACCAGGAGTGGCTCACCATCGTCCAACTCTGAGTCCCTCCACGCCGTGCTCCACCAGCGCGAGTGCGAAGGCCACTCGCCGTCCCTGCCACGGCAGAGGAATCCCGAGAATGGGTCTGAGTACCCTTGGAGCCTCTGCCTCGTCCTCATGGAGGCGGTCCACGACGAGTTGACCTCGGCCTTCACGGAGCTTTTCGGGGCGAAGAACCTCAGCCTCGACACCCTCATGCACCACCAGCTCTTCGGGGCCACAAGGGGTCTCCAGGATGAAGTGGCGGTTGACTGGGCGGTGTCACAAACGGTCCGCTTCCTTGAGACCATGGACACCAAGCAGGAGGCCCAGCACCACCATGCCTACCACACGGGCTGTGATGTTCGCCTCACAGATCGTGGTGAGGACGTGGTGGGCAACAGGCCGGGCCCTTACCCTGCTTACAGATGGTTGTGGCGGGACATTTTGTCCTACAAATGAAAAGAGCCACAGCACATCACCATCCTGGAGCTGACCGCCTTTTTGACCGAGCTTCGCCGCCGTGCCCGCAACCCCGAGGAGCACGGCCGGCGGTTCTTTTGCATCGTGGACTCCCTTGTCACCTTTTATGTGATGGGCAAGGGACACTCCATTCCGATGACCCTCTGGACGATCAGCAAATGGAACTTTTCCGATGGCGCCTCGAGGAAATACGAACCGCAATGATCATTTGCGGTACCTTGGAATCACCCAGCGGACGAGGCGCTCTTAAGAGCGGGCGGTGGCGGCTTTCTTTTCTTACCTTCGCGCCCTATACGGGGCAGACTTCCACGGAACATGGAGGAGCTCGATGACGAGCTCTCTGAGTATATTAATCATCTTTATCAAGAAGGTGACTCGCTATCTTTTGCAGGATGGGTGGTGAGTGGCCTCAAAAGGTTTCACCCACGGTGCCGGGGGCACCTCTACACCTCCCAGTTGTTTCTCCGAAACTGTGGACGAGGGTGCACCTCCCCCAGCGAACTACTCCTCTTTCTTGGCTGGGGGCCAAAGCAATGGCGAGTGCTGCCTTTCAAGTGGGCCGGCCCGACCTCTCCATCATTGTGCTGCTGGGCTTTGCCTTCTTTCTGCGGACAATGGAGCTCTTGGCCCTGCCATGTTCGCCTTTTCCCTGACCAAGGTCAAGTGGTAATTGCAATCGTGTCCAGCAAAACCTCCCGTGGGCTTCAACAATTCCTTTCTCTGCATGAACCGGAGCTGGTCAAAGTTCTGCACTTTTTGTGGGACCGGGCACGCCCGAGTGGGCTGATCTATTCATCCCCGCCTTTGGTATTTCGGCGGGAGTTTGCCTCCCTGGTTCGCTCGGGGGGCCTCCTGGCGGAAGACTACCTTCCCTACTGCCTTCGTCGTGGAGGCGCCACCTTCTTTTACTAGCGTACTGATAGCCTGAGAAGGACTGTTATCCAAGGGCGATGGAAAGATCAATCCACTGCCCGGATCTATGTTGATGATGCCAGGGCCACGTTGGTTCAGTTGCTGCTCCCCGCCCACGTCACCGTCCAGCAGCAACGTCTCGCTTCTTTGTGGCGGGTGGCGGAGCCAGGTCAGCTGCCTTTGGACAGTTGGCTTGGGGAGTTGGCTGAGCTCCAGAGTGTAAGCCTTTGGAGTTCTGAACCTCCTATGGGAGTGGCCGCCCATGGGCGTGCTGGCAAGGGCGGAGGCTGTACTTTAGTTTTGGCCTCCGCGCATTTAGGCGCACCGCCAACTCTGACACCTTCCAGCTCCTCTGGAAAAAAGTCCGCTGCGTTGTTCTGAGAAAAAAAAAATAAATAAATATATATATATATATATATATATATATATATATACATACACACACACACTTGCAGAACCATGGGCACATACACAAAATGCATAGCTGCAAAAGCGAACTGGCGAACGCATCCGCGTGCATCTGAAGGTGCGAAAGAATCCCAAAGTCCATGCCGGTGCACCGCTCTTCAGTGGCTTGGCCCGTCGAAAGCATGAATAAGTGTGGAGGCATGTGATTGGATTGTTTTTTGCCGCAGGATGGTCTTGTTATTCAACACTGCTGTTTGTCGTACCTGATGAAATCGCCTTTGAAAAACGGTTCAACTTGCAAAGCAGAAGGGTTTTCGGGTACCAGCACAAACGGAACTTCTTCTTCTTCTTCGGTTGGTTGAGTTGCATTAGAGTCGGTGTAGGTGTAGACACCACAGGACGTATGTTTTGCTCGATATGCCGTGATGCGTCACTCTGGTGCTTTGATACTACGTTTGGCGCAGTCTGACAGGATAAGCCGGGGTCTTGTCTGAGGATGTGGTACCCGTATGAGCCTGCTTTGGAAGATGTAGATGCGTCACACACTGCCAGGGCATTGCATGCAACTTTCTGGAGGCAGTGCCGATGTGGTATGATTTCGTGTCAAGTACGTGAAACTGGGTGATTGTGCACAACTCACATTATGCCATAATTTCGTGTGAAGCGGCTTGATCCTGTATAGTAAAGGAGATTTCGATTTCAAGTGTGCGCTTGCGACTGCACGAGGGTCGTCGTGCGAACCGACACGATGTATGGCGTTCTGGTATTTGGTGGGTTGACCTTGTCTGTTGCTTCTGCGATCACTCGTGGATGTTGGTGGGGGTCACTGTTGCTTTTGTAGAATGCTACCATGGTAGCAGCAGACACGGTGTCATGTTGCGACCATTCGTCGATTTTGGCCAGTAGGTAACAGGTTGGCACGCACTGGATGCTGTTTGCGATGGTCTGCCGTCGTCTCACCTCACAGTTTCGGAGCTGTCCGTGCAGCTTTCCATTGCCCCCGCTTGCCGAGGCATCTGCGAGAACCTTCACACAAAGCACCTCGGCTCGCCAGGGTTTTGGCGGCGCACTCTCTGCAGAACGCGAACGGCACAATCAGGGAACCGACAGGAACTTCTAGAGGGCTATGACTATACCATCACACTAGAAACAAGGAAGCTGATAGGGATTGTAAACAGCAATCGGAGCCGGGTAAGTGTCACATAAGCTTCAGACTGACAGAATCAGGGCCTACGTTTGGCGTGGTTGGATGGTATGTTCATCTTCCATGTGATGGTTGCGACTAAGCAGCACGGTCAACTCACAGTGACGTGAGGTTTGTGATTGGCGTCGGCTTACCTCTTTACTACAACTCCTTGGTCTTTCTGCTCATCCTCTCAGCTACTTGCCGCAAGAAGCTGCTGATAAGCATGCGTTGGGATATGCCTTGCTGGGCTGCTACCAGGTAAAGGTTTGGATACCCTTCAGGAGCGTCAGCCCCAGCCCCTGACCTTTGCCACGGTTTCAGCCGTCAAGGCCATTGCCGCCCTCCCCCAGGTCTTTGCAGCTGTCCGCCAACTTCGGTCTCGAACACATGCCCGAAGTTCCTGACATCCAGTCTTGCCTGTGCTGCCTTGCAGACCCTGTTTCCGCTGCCCGACATTCTTAGCCTAGACCCACCAACCCCTCGTAAACCTGTCATTCAACCTGAATCCTGTGGGCTCCTTCTGGCGAGAGCACAGGTCCTTCTGTTCCTGGGTGCCCATTTTGCTTTGGATAGCGATTCGCAGAGCTGCTGGGATTGCACGCGAGTTTCGAGAGAGTGTTGCTGTCTCAGTCCTGAAATTGAGGGGTTCGAGAGTGTTCAACATGAGTCCCTCTTAAACTTAAACAGTCGCAAAGCCGGCACATGCACTTTGTGCTCTTCGTCTCTGTCCGTTCGAGAGCCTTGGACCCAAGGCATCTCCCCCAAGGCTCCAACATCCTGACTTCCTCAGGTCTCTTCAATTATTCTGGGGTGTCGTCAAGCCCGGTGCAGGCCGACCCATGTGGGTTTCCAGGTCTCTTTGAGAGAGATTCCTTGCAGCCGGAATGCAGACTTGAACTGCCCACGCCCCCAGGGTTGTGGGTGATGGCCTCCAGCTCCGTATTGCTGTGTTTCTTTCAGCAAGTCTGGCAGTTCCACGGCGTGCCGCTGTATCCATCGGCCGAAGGCCTTGGGACTGGGGTTCTGGGGTTTAGGCCAAGATCCCTTTGTTGAGCGAAAGTCTCTTCGAGGCCAAGGGCTGTGTGTTGGGCTGCTCTTCTCTTCACGGCAATGGGCATCTGCAACAAACCGGATTTGGAGAGCTGCCAGGGCAGCAGCTGTTCAGATGCTCCTTTGTTGTAGAAAGTGCAACGTGCCGTGGGTACGAAAGCACGATGCAGCCATCTTTATTGAAGCTCAGGCCTCGCCATGAGACCACAAGTCTGTAGGCAGCGTCTTGAGCCAATTCAGGCACGTCGGATGCGTCGATATGCAGCTGGGCCATGGACGCGTCCTGGACGATGGTAGTGGTAGTGCTTTTTTTGAATTTGGTATTGGCGTGTGTGGGGTTTGGGGTTGTGGCCGTGGGAGGCTGAAAATGTCAGTCAGCCTTGTTTGACAAGACCCCAACCTTACGACCTCGCTTGTAGACCGTCAACACCATGCGTTGATGCTCGCTGTGGCACATGAGACGAGCTTAGCTTAGGTTTGTGCTCATGTGACACTGATGCACCGCTTACGAAGTCCCAGCAGCGAATTGAGGTTTGAGCTTCCGGGTTCCGGGCGGGGTGGGTTTCGGGTTCTGAGGACCATGGCCTCACACGCTTCAACGTGGATACCACTGCGCAGGCCTGCTGCCAGTGCTGTTGCGAAGGGTATCTGTTGGGGGATTGACAGCTGGGAGCTTTTCGATCGTGATTCTGAGGTGCCGTGCGGCTACATGTGTACTCTTCGCATGTGGGACTTCTATGAACGCAACAACAGTGCTTACAGAGCTTGGAATGAGTCCGGCCGACAGGGCTTCATGCGACGGCTGTCAACGATGCCTGGCGCAAATTGGGGATTCGTTTGCTGTTCGCTTGAACTTTACGTTTCGCTGATCATGAGTACTCGTGTGACGTCTGATGCCCTCACAGCTTCGGGCTCTCTGTCCGTTCTTGGGTGTGACTTTTGGAGGTTCGGCAGTTTCTTCAAGTGAGCCAGTGACATGAAATGGAAGCGGTGCGACACGTTGAGGGCAATAACCATCAGCGTCCTGACAGAGCCCATTCGTTTTCTTACGCTGCTCAGTAATGAAGGGCAGACGGTCGGACCTTATTCTGTTGAATCCCAAGCACAATGTCGAGACGTTCCTCCTATTGTCCCATTGCGGAGCCCAGGGCTCGTGCAAGCGAAAGACTCTGCCACACCCCAACTTGTGAGGGGAGGTTGTGTCTGGAATGAAACTTTTGACCCTGAGTAGAATCAGCAGAAGCCTTAAGTCTGAACATGTCTGAAAGAGATGCGGAATCCAGGAGCGTGCTGTTCCTTTGGCTGCTTGGATCGGTTGGACTTCTGTAGCTTTGACACAGTGGTTCAGGCTTTATTTGTAGTTTGGCATCGTTCTCAAACGATGCATTGCAGCTGCTATCACAAAAAACGCTGAAGTGTGAACTTTAGGAAGCTAGTCAGTGCCTTCACACTTTGGACGAGAGCTGCATTTTGCACCTTCGTGCATATTGTTGAGACTAAATTAAAGTGCATCGCTGTCGTCTGTTGGAAGTGATGCCCCAGGTTCGCTGCCATGCTGATCATGCTGGCGCACGCCTGGTTTCAGCTCAAGCACGCCAAGCAACTGGGCCGCGTCACTGATCCGGAAATGAAACGTTTTTCTCGGCCGTGTTTCATGAGCCCGCTTCCCGTGCCTTGAGGTGGTTCGAGTCACAGCACCTCACGATGAAGGACACGAGATGTTTTCCAGGGCGGCAACAAGTCTTGTCGCGTTATCCCGTTCTCCGTGACAGCGTGCAACCAGCTGCTTCACAAACAATTCAGAGACGAATGGCAGAAGCCAGCCTGTATGCCGACGGCCGGAGCATCTGAAACCTTCACGGAACATCACAGAACCCTGCTCGGAGGATTTCGCTCTGGTGCTGTGCCTTGACTGAAATGCGCAAGGAGCACGAAGTGCGGTGGGTAGACCCAAAGAAGCGGAACAACAGACTTTTTCAATAAGTACAGCGGCGTGTCTGAGCATCGACAGCACTGATATGCACGTGTCAGTGGGTCAGTCAATTGCTCCTCACCTCGTCGTGGACATGCGAGTACTCATGTTGTATTTAACCTTGTTCCTTTTGTTTGCTGCGGCTTGTGCACGATCATACGTGCATGTGAACATTTGCGCCGCTGCGTGGTCTCCTTCCGGTGTGCTTGTGCGGGTATGTGTGCATGTGCGCGTGTCTCTCTCGCTCTCTGTCTTTTTTTAAATCTCTCTCTCTCTCTCCCTCTCTCTCCGCCTATGCCTATGCCTGTGTATGTTCATGCCGATGTCATACCATGTCTAACCAATTGATGTGTTTATGATGCGTGAACGTCTATACGTAAACTCCACTGTACACCGCGAACAGTAGCTAGCACGGTGGCGAACGTGAAGCTTCGCTCCTAGCTCCGAAATGCCTCGATTCAGTAACCGAAGGTGAAGAGTTCTCTTGTTGACGAGGTCCGGACTGCCACCCGAAGCCACGGACGAGACGCAGATCGCATCTTGGCCCGGCCTTCTCATGCTGAAGGCATGAATTAGGTGAGACTTGGAATTCAGGTTATCGGGCGGTAGGTAGAGTCAAGCTTGCGATGACTCCCAAAGCTGGTTTGGTGTCCAGGCTGCAGAGTCATGCATAGTCCGGAGACCTCACCACTGAAACCGTCCATCCAAAGCCCCTTCGCGACTTCTCCACAGATCCGAGAAACCATCAAGAACGTACCGAAAGTCTAGTAGGAAAGCAGGTCGATTTTGACCTAGGACTCCCGGATTTCCACATCCACCAGAGTGCACCGTGTGCTCCGAGGCAGAATGCATCTCCCGACAAATCGGCCGCGTGCTCAGCAAGAGAATTTGGAGAGCTCCAGGCCCATCCCGGCCCCCGGATCTAGGGTTCTTGCGGGCTCGGGCCTTGGGCCTGGGGCCTTTCGCTGCCCAGGCGAGACTGTGCGATCCGTTTCCATTGGCTACGATGTCACGTCGCGTTGGGGCGAGGCTCGTTCTTACCGCCCTCGTCAGAGCAGCGGCGGGGGGGGGGGGGCGGGGTTTCGGAGCTCTTCGTGCTCACGCGCGGTGCCGTAAAGTTCTAGGATGTCGTATCATACTGCTTGACTCCCAAACATGATTCGTATGATGCCAGGTCAACACAAGTAGTAGTCCCATTTCATGTCACACTTGAAGCGCAGCTTTCGTGGTTTGGAGTACGAAGGCTTTGCGGCTGCACGATGACATTGAAGCCTGCATCCTAGCCATGCGGTGGCAGTACTGCGTGACAGTGATGGTTGTGGTAGCGGCTGCAAATTGCTGGGCAGGTAGAGGTTCTCCTGGATCGCCACCTTGCCTTCGCCGATGCCGAGGCAGGGTCGGCCGGTTGGGTCTTTGTCAGGTCTCAGAAGTATCGGTGCTTTAAGTCTTGTGCTGTACGCAAATCGATGGTTGAGAGGGACTGGCAGTGTTGTGCCGCTGTCCCTCTGTCTTTCTCTCCCTCTCTCTCTCTCTCTCTGGCTCGCTCTCGCTGCTCTTGCTCTCTGCCCGACTTTCAGCCCTTTGCAAAGGCCCGGGGTGGCCTCCCCGAAGGTGTCGGCTTGCGCCCCCGGCAGGCGACAGGGCAGGGACAATGCCAGGTTAAGGTCGGGCTTCTGGGGTTCAAGACGGGACATTGCCTTTTGTAGGCCCCCCTGGCTTTTCGCCATGCTCCTGATGATGTTCGACTTTTGGTTGGTAGTCTCCATTGCGGTTCTGTCAGCAGATGTAGTTGGGTTGCAGCATTTGTCGCGGGCCTGTTGTCACATTATATTGTACTCGATCTTGTGGATGGCAAGGGTTGCGCAATCCGGGCACCTGGCTAGTTGCCAATCTCTGAGCTCAGGCCTCGAACATGAGCAGCGAGGCTCGGGGCTCCCGGGCATGGTGCAACAAGAATTGCGAGTCCAGTCCAGTGCTCTGAGGCCCTCTGCTCGGCGCGTTTTGTCGGTAGAGGGATGACTCGCCGAGATGTGCGGATCCTCGGATTTGTCGTCCGCTCGCACGACCCAAACCCTTCGACCCTGAAGCCTACAATACTGTACACTCTGTAACCACCGACCCGCATCCGAGAAGTAACGCCCAGAAGAAGCCAAATATGTGCTTCTGCAGCAGGAGGGTTCCATACAGTGCTGGCAGGACGAGGTGCAACATCTTGGGATGTGTCATCGGCATGGGGTTCAGGCTCCCTTGAGTGCGGTCCTTTATATTTATGCGCTGACCCTGGAGCTCCCTGTCTCTGTCTCTCAAACAGTATACGGTTCGGCTTCGGATTGATAGGTTGCGCTAAACAAGCATTACAGAGCCCCCAAGACGCCAGATCATCAGGACAGCGCTACGGTCCGCGAGTGGTTCAGGCATGCCCATGGAGATCCCCACAGCCCTCGTTCTGTTTTGGAAAGGTGCTTCTGCTTTGGCTCTTGTTTGTTGGGGTACAAAGCTGCAGGTGGCCTGGGCATTGTCCAGGATCGTGAGGGGGTACCGGGTACAGAAATCCAGCCCAGCACAGAAATCTTTGTAGTGCTACGAACCCCAGATGTTTGGGAAGGCCTGGCTCCGAAACTGCCATGCTCGGCTCTGGCGGCTCAGCTCGACACACTTTTTGTAATTATACTTCATTACGGGGGCGAGCGATTAGGACAAGATCAGGACTTGCGGATTGAGGACGTCAATTGCCAACGTCTCGAAGCCACGTTCAAGCTTGTCGAGCAGAGAAGTTGCATCTATTCAAGCAACTTCCGGTAGATATCAGTGTGGTGTCTGAATGCAAGATGCAACCATCGTGACCAGAGCATTTGGGCCTCAACGCTGCCTTGCGCACTATACACTCGCCACGGATGCGGCAGTCTTTTTGCTTCGAGGATATGCCTGGTTGGTTTTCGCCAACCACCGCGACCGCGACGAGTCCCTGCACAAGCCGCCTGGCTAAGAAGGGCTCTGCACGGCTTCGACTTTTATCTCTATGCAAACCGGCTTATTGGAGTTGGACATGGAGCTGACATGTGCAACTCTCAGCAGAAATCTTCGCGGCACGCACCGACAACAGCTCTTTGAGCACCGACCACTTCCAAAGGCCCGAAGATGCCGAAAACGGCATGCAAGAGAACCTCATTCTGTCCTGCAAAGTACAAGCGCCCGAGGATGCTATGCCTCGAGAAGGATGGGCGAGGCCTCAAGGATTTCCGAAGTTTTGCCCTTTCAGGAGTTGTAAGGGTCTGTATCCAAGCTTGATGGCGTTTCAGGCATTTCGAAAATATCCTGGCGAGCTGTCCCCGAGCTGTGCACAGCGCCTCGCCCGCCTCGCGAGGGATCGTGTGGGAAGATCCGGAGACTGGCCAGCGTCAAGTGTTGGACTTCGGGGTACCGACGCCTGGCCCGACAGAAGCGACAGTGAAGGAGGAGGAGGAGAAGGAGGAGGAGGAGTTGGAAGGGTTTAGAGTTCAGGGATGTTTTGGGTGTGGAAGATGTGACGAATGCAAATCTTGAGGTTCGAGTAGACGAAGAGTTCCGCACGGACACGCATTGTTTCATCGACTTAATGCCCGGGCCGCCCAGGCGCTGTGAGCCCACCAACGTCCGGTGGGAGCCACCAGTCCGAACGCGTTTTCAGTCATACTGTGTAGGGCAGGCACCGTTCCACAGCCTATGCCAGCATCAATTTCACAACGGAGTTCAGGCAGTGGGATGGTGGGGTAGGCTCTAGAACAGCGATTCATGAGGCAACACGCGTAGACGTACACACGCACATGCAACTCAACAGCTTAGGCATTTGGGCCTCGGCATTTGCTGCCGTCGCGCGCTCTTCCTGGGCGAGCTCCGACTGCAAATGAAAGACTTTGGATGCGATTGAAGGCTGCTGGGAGACGCTGGAAGTTAGAGGCTTTCAGGCGTCAGGCGACTCAGGCGACATGCAGAGTCCCGACACTGTGTGATGCCTCCAAGGCCTTGCTGCTCTGGCTTACTGCAGCAGGCTGATCAAGAGGGGCGTCATTCCCGAGTGTTCAGCGGTTTGGGATCTTTTCGGGCATCATAGCCATAGACTCATGGAGTCCGCCTTGGATGTTTAAACAGCCGTCAAGACCTCTGTTGGCTCGTCCGGCTCTTTCGGAGGCTTGCCAGCTCTAAGTGTCACATATCTTCTCTTCAGAATTTAAAATGAACTTAGCTGGCGACGCAAGCTCCAAATCGAGACATCTGACAGGCTTCTTGGCCATCAGCATCTACGTACCTTATGCGGAGTATGTGACCTCCTTCTTGGAGGAGGTCCGGGGTGCAAAGCGTGCTGCACCATCAATTTGCTCCCTGCGGGTTTCTATCTCAGAGTGTGCTGTGGGGCGGAGACCCAGATCTTCTGGCCCAAGGAATCCCGGCACCCGCCTCGGCCCTTGAAGCTGAGGTCTAGGGACCCCAGCAAGTTAAGTCCGAATGTTTTCAGCTACTCGTCGTCCTCGCAGTGATTCCAGGCTGAGTGATCGTCCCAAAGGCAGCTGGTTTTGTTTCCGTCAGGAAAGGTTGAATAAGCACAACAATACAGCAACAAGTAGACCTAACATCTACCAGCATACGGGCTTCAAGACAGTAAACCCAGCACGATCAGGGGGAGACAGACAAGCAACAAACATCTTGTTGGGCAGTTGTTCGGGTGTAGCACACTTTTTGGGCTAAGCCATCCACAGCATTTAAGGCAATTTAAGGTTTGAGCGCCGCGTTTCGCCCTCGCTATGCGTTTTGTCGATAGGTTGTCTAACCCACAAAAAGAGTCCGAGTCCGAGCCGTCTGGGACGTTTCGAACTGTTCGATCCGATCCGTTTCTCCCTGAGGCGGGCAAGTTCCCTCAAGGCTTCATGATGGGCCTGCTCGGATTCCTGCGACCGGGCTGTGTGTTTGAAGGAGGGGTATGTAGGTGCTGCCAGATTAAAGCACGCCTCACCTCGATACAAAGGGCAACGCAATCTCGGAGAGGGTGGGGGAAGATTTCGCACCTCAAGCAGATCGGGCTCACTGGACTCTACCTCTAAGCACTAGGTTAGGTGGGATTTCGAAGAGCTAGTTTTCGAAGCTTCTCTATTCGGCCCAGGATTGGACTGACGTGGTGGGCCATGTGCATGATGATAGGCCGGGCCTGGAAACCGTGTACCATAAACCCAGACCCGTTTCTGAGCCATGGAGCCACCGCCCTAGAGATTGAGCCTTCATCCACCATGCATCCTAAAGCCCTCGACCAGCGAGTCTGCTGCTTCAAGTGTGTAACTAGGAGTTTGCTCTGGTTCTGCAAGCCGAGACCTTGGCTGAGAGGGGGGAAGATAGAGATGGTGTCTAGCTGCGATTTAGCAGCGTTCTTCGAAGATGCCAGTACCTACAGCCTGGACCCCTACTCAAAGGTCCTTGTTAGAAGTCCAATCTGTCCCAACCACGAACGTAAGTTGGTCTAACCCCCCGAAGCTGGTGACCTTGAGCCAACTGCGTGACGAAGCAGTGCCGACGCATGCGTCCGTAGCGGCACAGATTGCATTGCGTTTCGGGCATCAGGCGTCAGGTCTCAGGATCGCAGTCTTCATCCAGTTGTGGCTTGGGTGGAGAGAAGGTTTCAGCCCACCCCTAAAACGTTGCAAGATGTAGAGCAACGTCGATGATCACAGGGACTTGCGTGAATGTGGCGGGCTTCCAGACGATTGAAGACGAGAACCTCTTCATTTTCATTACATTCACCATCTTCTGTGTTGCTGTGGAGCAATTAGAAACTGCTGCAGGTTGCGGGGTCGGGGGATCATCTTCTCCGACAAGTGTGTGCCGTCTTCTGTATCGATTCTGTGCCTGTGCGTTAGCAGCCCACTTGCGCTTGCTGCTGCTGCCGAGGTTGCTGCCTCGGCCTTCAATGTCTACCTGACCTGGTACTACACGCAGGATCTCCGGTTCTGACTCTCATTTTGAGTCCGCGCCTTTTGCGAAGCTTCGGGAGAGACGGGGTCTGGCCCGCCAGGACCTGTGGCAGCATCACACCAGCAGCTGGTTTCAGAGAGTCAAAGGCGGGAAGGGCCACATGCGCTTGAGACCCTGAGTTCTTGACCCCAGAGCCAGTAACTTTCGTACTGGTTCAGACACCAGACTTCGATTGCCGCAAGGCTTCCTGTTGGACACCGGTGGCCCTGTGACGACGCTGCGGGACTTGAGGCACCTCAGGGGTTCAGGCTTCCACGTCGGGGCTTCGCCTTTGCGGCTGTGAATTTGGAGTCTTTGGAATCCTGCCAGCATCCTGCCTGCGGCCCTGCCGCCCTGCAGCCAGGAAGGAGATCGACTTCGGCTTCCGAGCCGTGTCCGCAGGCAGAAACCAAGTCGAATGAATCAGAACTTGGCCATGCTGCCGTTCTAAAGCCGAAGACATGCGTGGCCGCGGCAAGGCCATCCTCAACCTAAGCCTTACCTGACAAAGGGTCGGTGATAGACTTCACGAAGCAAAGGAGTCTTCCAAGTGCTGGTGCCGGGCGTGCTGTTCACTCCCTGTCTGCTGAGCCCGCTGAACAACTTCCTGCACCTTCACAGCAAGTTAGTCTCTGTCTTTGTCCTGTCGGCCCAAGCTTCCAATCTTTCAAGTACCTTGGGAGGCACCAGTCATGGCTCAGCATTGACTACTGTAGGCCCTGAAGGCGGCGGCATGCTTTCGTATCCGAAGTGTGTGTGTGTTTGTGTGCATCTGACCGAAACGATCCTAGACGGAAGAGGCTTAGAGAGAGCCTAGTTGTGAACATGTTCGACGGCAGGCCACAAAGAGAGCACGGCCCTAGAAGCCCTGGAAGCCTGCGGCGGTTCTGCTTCCGAGGATTCCCTACTTTCGGGAGTCGGCTTTGTTGCTGCTCTTCGGACAAGGCACATCGTGCAGTAGTGCAGTGCGCTGCCTCGGCTTTCATCGAAGTATCTCTTCCGGGGCGGGGAGCTCTTGCACTTTCTTCTTGAATCGTCCTTGTTCAGTGCTTCCAGCGCGGCTCGGATGTGATATCTGCAAGCAGCACCGAACATGCGCTCTGGTTCCGTCTGCCGCAGGAAAGAGTGGCAGGGAAGCGGAGAGGTTCCTGGAGCCACTGCCCATAGGCGCGCACGGGCATGGGTCCTAAGTGAGCCTTCCGAGATCTGACGACGATGACTGACTTGCACAGCCGCGAAGCTGCCGTGGTGAGCCGCAAAGACTTCGGGCGGCATGTTTCTTCTCTTTGCTGGAACGGCGTATGAATGTCGAATTGGAGTCAACAGTGAGGAGGTGGGACAAAGCTTGCTTCTCGTGTAGGCCTTGCCTGGGACTACCAGGGGCACGTGACGCTGCCTTGTTGCTGCGAGATCGCACTATGCCGGCCATACTTAGTAGGGCATTGAGGGCTGTTTGGGGTTGCCGTTGGATGCACAAGGCTATGAGCAGAAGTCACAGCTACCCACAAAACCACGCCCTCATCCCAACTGTGGCAGTTTCAGTCTTGAGGCGGCTGGAAGATGTTCCTGGAATGAGTAAGGAACTTCAAGAGAGGAGCTCCGTGGGCGGCGTGGGCCGAGGCTGCTGTCTCACGCTCTTCATCATGTCCCCTTCCATGTGGTGGACGCAGGCTTACCTTTGCAACTCGCCTTGGTGTGCATTTGGGTGGACCCCCCGAGGGGTTTAGGGGTTGGCTTTGGGGTGGCTCTTTTTGGTGTCTTGCAGGAGATGTTGCGCATGTTGCGCAAGAGTAAGCCTGAGTAAGCCTGAGTAAGCCTTAAGCTGCTTCTGCGTGTGCTCTGTAAGCGGCTCCTGAACCGGATCCCGTCTCTGAGCCGAGGCGTCTGGGCCTTCTTCTTTTACTTCTTCCAGCGCTTCATGCACCTCCGCGTCTGCAAAAAGATGCCCCTGGGCTCGTATGCTTCCATGGAACAGACGAGACGTGAGGCAAAAAACTTGCCGGAGTCAATGCTACATTGCAGGATTCAGCTCTGCTGAGGTACTGCACGTCGAACAAGCTGGAGCCACTGGAAGGGAAGGGGGGAGGGGCGGGAGGGGGGGAGGGAGGGGGGAGACGAGCTCAGAGCCGAAAGCCCTGGAGTCGAAGCCTCGAAGCCCAGACGACAGGACAGCATGGTCCTCTACTTCGGCTGGGGCCTGCTCCTTGCGGAACTGGCATCTCGCATTAAAAGCCACCGCAGGCTTCGCGTTCCGGGGCTGTGGGCTGTAGGTGGCAGCTTTCTTCTCGCTGTGGTTCTTATTGGCATCGTCTTCTCCGCCTTCAAGCGTGTAAGGCAGCATGCTCGAGGCTAGCAGGCTAACACTTAAAGCTTTGCCTTCCCCGCTTGGCTTCAACAAGTTGCCAAGACCTCGGAAGCTGTGGAAGACACCTGAATTCCAAGGCGGCTTGCCACGCGTACTGGCGAGTTAGGCTTCAGGAGTGGTCTTTTGGCTGCAATCATAGTTTGCAGGCCTTTTGGAAAGCTGTGAAGATGTATACCGACTGAACACATACACAACAGCCCTCCGTGGCCGGTCGCAGCTCGCGCAGCAGCTTGCCAAAGCCCCCTATCAAACCCCTCTGTTCAAAAACTCCGTTCCTCGTCTTCTCGACCAAGGCAGTGGATTTCGATCCTCAAGGCAGTGGCACTTTCTTACGTGGCCGCCTAAGCACAGGCTTCGGGATGTTGTTCTTTAGCGTCCTAAGAAGCGAAGAGGAAGCAGTGTGGACCAGCCTCGAAACTGAAGTCTGCTAGGTGGAGTTCGGGTTTGGCGGGTGCATTTTTTGCATATGTCGAGGTGGGGGACCTCCCAGCTCGAGACATGAAGCTCAGCCTGTAGCATCGATTCTGTTGCAGGATCCCCCGTGCAAGACAGCGACATTTAGGGTTTCGTCTTCAAGACCATGAGGACCATGGACTACTTCAGGAACCCGATGTTCGAACCAACATAAAGCCTCAGCAAGGTGTGCTGGAATCTTCCAGCCGATATCGGAAAACCATGTATGAAGCAACGCGCATGTCTTGATATGGTCGCTTTACTGTGAAGCCTGCGAGAACCTTCAGCAAGCCCTTCTAGGATTCTAATAGTTCTCATAGATGCTCGAACTCGAGGCTGTCTACTGGTCGCTACTCTGGGCCTTGGGTGTTCCCTGGCCGCTGCGTTTTCGGGGCGAGCTCGACGCGCAGCTGAACAGTTTCTGTCCTAGACTGTGTCGTCCGATTCTTTGTAAAGTTGGAGCGATAGTCCATGGCACAGCATGCGAATCTCATGGTAGAAGGCATGCTGTGACCTCTCATGTCTGTGCTTCTGCAGTGTCCAGCCCAGCACGGAGAACTTGTGGCTTCGGATCGGCGGTACAACTGCAGTATGTCGTGGCAAGATGGCTCACAACTCCTGATGTCTTGGAATCATACAAGTTGGAGAGGTCCTTCCACTGTACATCTTGTCCGAACCGCAAGTCTCAGCCGCGCCTTTAACTTGAGATCAGGATGCTCACTAGGCCTGGGTCCCCAAGTTCTCTAAATTGACTGCGTCGATGCCGTTGAGCTCTAAACTCCGGCTGCATGAAACAACATTTTCCCCTGTGCTGCTACTTGCTATGTGCAGCCAGAGCTCTTGAGTTTGACAGTCAGTCCTCACAGATACTGCATTAATGTTACATGTAGCAGCAGTGTGCAAGAGGTTAGGCCTTGTTTCTGCTTTGAACATACATGTATAGTATACAGCAAAGCACTCCACATGTACAGCATACAGCAAAGCACTCCTTTCATACTATATTTGCAGAATAATATCATAGCACTACCATCTTGTTATCATAATAATATTGAGATCAATATTGCCCTTATGTTAGTATCAATGTTGGCATTAATGTTGACATTAGTTTTCTTTCTCTCTTTCTCTCATACATTTCACGATTGCACGTATGTCTATGTATGTACACACATATGTACACATACATATGTATACTTATACAGACATACATGCATACATCCAGCCATCCACCGTCCGTCCGTCCATGCATGCATGCATCCTTGCATCCTTGCATCCTTCCATCCATCCATCCATCCATCCATCCCTGCGTGCGTGCATTCGTGCGTGCATGCATGCATGCACAGCCACAAAGTAGCATGTACTTCTTTTGCATGGTATGGTATGGCATGGCAGGTATGGTATGGCGGCGTAGGGTAGGATGGAGTTGGGTATGGCATGGCATGGTAGGGCAGGGTACCGTAGGTACACGTTGAACCCGAAACCCTGTAATCCTATATACCCTAAACATCTCTAAACCCTTTAACTGCATGAGCCCGAACCCGGCAAGCAGCCCTAGCCCTACAAGCGCAGAATGCACATTTTGGTTCAGTTCCTGAAAACACGGGGTCTGAACATATACATATATATATATATATATATATATATATATCACGAAAGCTAGCTTCCGTGGCTAGCTGAGTTCCTTACCAACCGAAAGGTTGCATCTAGGGCTGTGGGGAAGGGCCCCCGGCCAGGTGGGCATTTTTTGCGCGTATTTGGGGCTATCCCCAACCTGGTGCTGGTTTTCGGCCTTCGTCCGTTTTGAGGTGTTTGAATGTGGTGCTTCGCACTGCTTCCGAGTGGAAAAACGGCTCCCCGATGATGCTCATGATGCGCGTTTGTTGGCCCCAAGAAGCTCCCAATGATGCTCGTGATGCGGGCTTGTTGGCTCGGATTGGGCTCCAAGAGGCCTCCAATGATGTTCGCGATGTGCGCTTGCTAGCTCCGATAGGGACCCACGGCATTCCCAACGATGCTTGTGATGTCGTGTACTTGTTCTATCTGGGGCGCCCGACCCGAGGCCATTGGCTTCTAGGCATGATATATACATGTATTTATGGTATGTTTGTGCATATGCAGCTCTGCTCCAACCTCTTTAAACAGAAGCTGAAGCGACCCGTATCTCGTGGGCATCCTAATGTTCGCCGTTTCCTGAAGAGCTCTCAGCAGCACTTTACTTTGCTGCTGGCTTGCTGGCTCCGATGCTTATGATGCTTGCAGCTCATGATGCTCATGCGTCGCCTACTTGTTCTATGTTGGGCGCCCGACCTGAAGACATTGGCTTCTAGGCATGATATACACATGTGTTTATGGTATGTTTGTCTATATGTACATATATATATATATAAATATACGTGTGCATGAAGCTCTGATCCAACCTCTTCCATATACTGTTTTTCTACTGTTTCCGCGCTTGTTGGCTCGGATTGGGATCCAAGAGGCCCCCAATGATGTTCACGATGTGGCTTGCTGGCTCCGCTCACGCGTCGCGTACTTGTTCTATGTTGGGCGCCCGACCTGAAGCCATTGGCTTCTAGGCATGATATACACATGTATTTATCTAAGTTTTCCAATACAAAACTTTTAAACTTTTGGGGTTCTTATAGTTTAGTAGTAATCTGAAAGTTTAACCTTTTGTTTCTGTGGCTATTGGGGGAGTAAGTTATGGTATGTTTGTGTATATGTACATAGATATATATATATATATATGTGCATGAAGCTCTGATCCAACCTCTTCCATATACTGTTTTTCTGCCATTTCATACTATACTAGTACTCGACTATACAGTCATATGTAGTAGCAGCTGCATCTCGACGAACAAGAAGCGCAAGCAGAGCATGGCTTGGCCCAGTGGGTGTCACCCACATTGAGGGGGATGGTATTGGTGCTCATTCAAGGGGTTCAAAAGTTAGGGTTTCTGTAATTGGAAGTTCAGTAGGCGTGTATGCATGCTTGCCTTCACTGGAAAAGCCTCGGTTGTTGACGCTTCTAGCTTTCGTCCCAGTCCCTCCGCCGCAAGTATATAGACATAGACACGAAATAGTAGGATTGTTTTTGGAAGGCCGCGTACGATGGCAAACCTGGTGTCCAAGAAGCGCACCCAAGCCTTGCAAAAAGTTTTAGCGCACAACAATGCTGTGTGAACATTCTTTAGGGCCCTGAAAACGCAGTGTTATCAAGTCATAGAGCCCTATCAAGAACTCGCGAGCCCGGCAGCCGCCTTCTGAAACCATGCAAAGCCTTGCTTACAACCCTAATTTTCGCAGATATGCTTCGTCCCCCTGTGCCCAGGACCGCTTGGAGCGCACACGAGAGAGATCTGACGAGACCTGGCGGCTTACCTCCCGGCTTTGGCTCTGGGGTCACGGAGAGTCGTCCGTTTGGTTTTCTGGGTCTCTATCATTTAGTTGTCATAGGTTCTTTTTGTGCAGTGTAGGTATTCTTAAAGCAGGGTTTGGTAAACACGCGACTATTCTATTTTTCAGGGGTTGTGTTGGGGTTCCCATTTTCTGGAAGTTCGGCAAGCGGGTTCGTTTCTTGAGGCTTCCTTTCTGCAGCCTTCAGGATAAGGCTTTGTGGGATGCGGATGGCCGCAAATGCGCGAAGACTTCAGGAGTTCGCGTGCGGGGGCGGGGGGCGGGGGGTTTTTGTTGCCAAGCCTCTAAATGTCCGATATCCGGAACCAGAATCCGAACGTAAACCGTTATTAGCAGTCTCTTGGATTTCCAGGCGTTCCAGGCTACCGAACCGTAGGTCAACGCTTTGCCAAGGATCGATGCCAAAGCTGCGAGGACTTCTGCTACAACTGGCTCAACGTGAATCCAGTTTACGCGGCTGGCCCTGATTTGTGGAGGGAGTGTTTTCAACGGATTTCTTAATGGCTTTTGAGTTGCCAGCATGGAGCCTGCCTGCGGCAGGTCTTGAAGAGCCAGTACTGCGCTGACGAGTTCGGCCTGGATCCTTGCGTCTTCTACGAGCCTGGTCCTTCGGCGACAGTCCCGGGAGGTTTCACTGCGAGGCCGCGGATTCGAAGAGTCCTAGGCTTCCGATTTCGGCGGGACTTAGGAACCAAGTCCTAATCCGTGCAAGTGAGCTGTAGAGCCCAAACACTCGAACTCCGCAAGTCCGCTGCGCCTACCAAGGAAAGGAGCCGCTTGGCAATTTGAAAGCTGAGGGCAGCGGCTGTTCCATGCCAATGCGAATGGGCCTTTGCGAGGGTTTTGAGTTTTGGGCAGCATTTTTTCGGGCCTTGTCAATTTGGTGTCCGTTGCATGTGCCAAGACTGCCCTACTCACGGAAACAGGATTTTATGGGGATGCTACATGCTTATCGGCGTTGTGTGAAGGGAGTGTTGGGACGGCACCACACTCGAAGGGAGATGGTTGGCTAAACATCTGCCATTGAGCAGCGATCTTTCCGCTATCTGAAGATCTGTCTGCCCGATTTCCTTCAAGTTGGAGGTATCTCCAGCTGGCTCCTGGCGACGAAGCTTGGCTTTTCAAGTCAGTTGGGAGGGGCTCGAAGTGGAGGGCAGCTGAGGTAGGCCGAGTCTTGCATGGCGGAACTGTAGCTTTCAGACCCCCGCTCCCAGAAGAGCCGAGAAGGCCTTTAAGCCAAAGCATAACTTGATCCCTATAAGGGAGACCTGCACACAGCGCAGAGCCAGCGATGGAAGAAAGCCAGTGCAGGCCTGACTTTGGAAGTATCGAACTGCATGAGAAGCCGTGATTTCGTGACTCCTGCTGTGAAGCCCCGTTTGGACACCTGTCTTGCTTCGTGTCTATGCACGTTGCGTCTTGCTTGTGCTGACTTCTTGCTGTCGTCTTCATTCTCAGCCACACGGCGGTCAGGACACTCGTGGCCTGGCATTAGGACATGGCGCGATAAATAAAAATAGTCCAATTTGTTTTGCCCAAACAAACTAAAGGTGCCGAGGTTGACATCCCCGCAGTGGTCTTGACACTCGTTCCAAGTGTGCCTTATGGCTTCGAGTTCAGAATATTTCCTGTCCAGCATCATCAACCTTACTGATGCCCAAGTGCTGAGTTCGCGACCCATGACAGGCCTATGGCTGGAGTTTGAAGGGCTGGGCTGCATTGCGCCTATTTGCTTCGACGAGGCCTGGTTAAAAGCTTCGGGTGTACCTGGCTTTGGGTCTGTGTCGGGTCGGGAGCCCGAAAAGCTACCAAGTCCGGAGCCTCACCTTCACCGACCAACGAAATCGGGGCTAGATCTCACGGCTACTGTACCTCCAGCCCAAAGCACAAGATTCAAGACGAAGCTTTCTATCTTCGACAAGGGATTCGGTTGGCGGACTCACGGATTATCACGGACTCCAGACTGAACGCGCCACGCCCTGAGCTGTTTGAGCTACGTGGCCTTGCATCATGCCATGCCGACAGCGGCAGCAGGGACTTTTTTTAGGGCACTTTTCTCGAATGCTCCTAGGACTCAGAAATAAAATTCCAGCGTGTGTTCCGATTTTGCCGCGACACGGTGATGCCAGGTGTGCACAGACGTAAGCAGCTTCTTGGCGAAACTTGAGCTTCCGGAGCCTTAAGACGGGTTTTGAGATGTGGACTTCTTGCACGGTCAAGGCTTAGAGGTGGACCGGATTGTGCAGCAGTTTCAGGAAGTTGCGGTGCACAGTGTAGAACTTTAACTTCAGGGTTCGGTTTGAAGAACTCGGCTTGCGAATCATATCCGAAAGCGACAGCGCCACCAGTGCTTCCGCTTGTCGGCACACCAGAGAGCCCAATGGCCTGAACCTGATCTTTGATCGTGCGCACAGCATCAGTTTCAGCGAGGTCCAACCAAGTCGGACTCAAGAAATCGACTTCTGCGCGCTAGTGAGCATGACTTGTCTTTTGGCGAGGCCTGGGGATAGGAGATTCTTGATTGAAGCTCTGGGTTCAGCCAAGCCTCATGGACAAAGTTCAGAGATCTCAGGCTTGTAGGGCTTGAGCAGTTATGACCTCAAAGACGGCTCTCGGAATATCTCGGAATCAGTGCTGCAGCTTGTGGTTTTTGGGGCCGGGCTGGGGCACAGTTCGAGCGTGCCCACTGCATCACCCGGCACTTTGCTCAGGTCAGGCTTCACAACACCAGATCCTTTTCCCTAGAAGTTGCAGGTGCATCTCCTCTGAAGGCTTGCACGTCGGGGCAGGGATCCTTAGGTGGTTAGGCCCGGTTAGGCACAAGTCAAGGAGAGATTCCTTTGGATTGACGTCTTCGAAAGGTTACCCGAACACGTGTTTGCGCTTGCTCGCAGGCCGATGCTACGCCATTCCTGCATGACGCCAAGGACTCCCCGTCTGCCTCGGCGGCTCGCCTGCAGCTCCAAGCCTTGTAACTGAGAACGGCTGCAAGTACTCGCCTTGCGATTGACTGTTGTCTTGGCGGGACGATAGCCTGCGAAAGATCGAGGTTTTGTGCCGCTTGTTAAGTGTTGCATAGCGTAGGATCCGGCAATCAAAACCGGCACGACGCCGGATGGCTGACTTAAATTTGTGCTGCCTGCTTTCGGGGGCACAGTCGAGTCCAACCCCCACTACATATTCTACATGCAGCATCAAGCCAGGCTTGATAAGAGTCCAGCCAAGGCCGCCCTGGCATCGGTCCCGGGCGACCAGGCAGGGCCCTAAAGTCGCAATTGAGACTTCTGGCATGGCTGGCATGGGCCTGCGGTCTTTTCTGGATCAGAAGTCGAATCCTTCACCTGTGCTGGTGGTGGTGGTGATGGCGCCTGACGGTAGTCGCGTAGTGTAGCAGAAGAGTGGAGGGCATGGCCTCAGCAGTGGCGGCAGTAGTAGTTGTCGTGGTCGCAGGTAGCAGTGTGAGCCCATCAGCGGTGAACGGAATGTTGCACATACTGTTGTTCATGTTCAGCCTGAAGGACCCAATGGACGTCTCGGACTTCTTGGAGCCCAGCAGCTTGGCTCTCCCAACTTAAGCTCGAGTCCAAGGTGGGTCGGCATTCGCCGCACAGATTCCATTTTTTCCCTTGCACGGGGCTGTCTGGATGGGCTCGCCGAAGCAAGAACTGACATGCTGACAGACCATGCGATCGAGAACCAACGGCGTCACAGACCGTAACACCCGCAAAATCCTGTGGTTCATGCTGAGGGGGACCCCTTCAACAATTTCCATTCCCAACACCCTTCGTGGGTCGACATTTCTGAAGGCCCGCGGGATGTGGCAACGCCCAGCACATCGTCGGCAGCCAAGCGGCAGGCGGACCCGACGCGAGGGTCGTGCATCGTGCGGGCCTGGCAGAAGGGCAGGGGTAAAGGCTTCCTCGTTTCTCTTGATGTTTTTCATCCTGCTACTGTAAAAGTTCGAGTGGTCTCGAACCCAGAAGACAGCTGCTGTTTGCCATCATCGACAAGAAGCTGGTTCCTGTACTTGTCCTACTTTCGGCTCCATGCGTCGGGGCTGACAGTTGCTGCAAACAGTACTGGCAAGGGAAGGGTGCCTGCAGCAGCTGCACACATCTCCTTGTACGTTGATGAAAAAGCAGCTGGAGACTCAACTGTCAACGTCTACTTACAACTCCCGGGATCGTCGACGGCGAGGACAGGCAAAGTGCAGAGCATTACAGGGTGGCAGTGACAAGGGAAAGCAAGTCATCGGATCTTGCAGTTGCTGCCAGGTGCCCCCAGATGTCAACGATGCTCCAGAGCCAAGTGTCTCGGTTGCCATTTCTGCTGACCTAGCTCATCACCAGAGAACTGACGGCATGGGCGTAAAAACTGTCGGATCCACATCGTGGGGCTGTGCGAGCTGCTCTTCCGCTGACATCCCAGACTGAGAGGCTTGCCGCAGAAGAAGCCGAGGAGATGATGGGGTGAACATGTCAGGCAGAAAGCCACGTGGCCCAGATCCTCCAAGTTCCATCTGAGATTCGAAAAACGAAAGTCCCCCCCTGACATAGGGATCCCAAACAAGGACCCTAAACAAGGAAGGCACGCCTGGTAAAGCCCATACGAATCGGCACGAACAACTAAGCTTGCAAAGGCGCCCGTGATGCTGCGAGAGACCAGCCGAACAAACAGCGCGAGGTGGGTAGAAATGTTGCGCAGCTCGTGGAATGATGTGAGACTACGAAGCAGCGATGAAGACTGCAACAAGGTCGAGGTGCAGAGACTGCCTGCATAAGCTGTTGCAATGCGGCAAAGACGTGATTACATTAATCCTTTCGACACCGTACCATGGGAGGCTCCCGAGAAGGCCTCCAAGGGCTTGGAGCAAAGCTCCTTGGTGGCAAAGTCCGGCGTTTCGAATGGTCGTGGTGACGGAACGGCTTGGGTTGGTGGTGGTGAATGTGCTGATATGGAAGGACACGAGCTGTCGAGATCTTTGATAGCACATGTAGTGCATCTCTGACAGCAATCGACCTGGTTTATAGGCCCGAGCGATGCAGCTGCACCCAGCGAGCCAACGCCTGTGCAGCACGAGGCAGGTCCAGCCCGTTTGTATGCAGAAAAGAGCATCGCAGGCGTGCGAAGCGGCAAAGTTGGTTCACAGTGGTTGCGATCAAGCAGAAGCTGTTGCAATGCGGCATAGACGTGATTACATTAGTCCTTTCGACACCGTACCATGGGAGGCTCCCGAGAATGCCTCCAAGGGCTTGGAGCAAAGCTCCTTGGTCGCAAAGTCCGGCGTTTCGAATGCTCGTGGTGACGGAACGGCTTGGGTTGGTGGTGGTGAATGTGCTGATATGGAAGGACACGAGCTGTCGAGATCTTTGATAGCACATGTAGTGCATCTCTGACAGCAATCGACCTGGTTTATAGGCCCGAGCGATGCAGCTGCACCCAGCGAGCCAACGCCTGTGCAGCGCGAGGCAGGTCCAGCCCGTTTGTATGCAGAAAAGAGCATCGCAGGCGTGCGAAGCGGCAAAGTTGGTTCACAGTGGTTGCGATCAAGCAGAAGCTGTTGCAATGCGGCATAGACGTGATTACATTAGTCCTTTCGACACCGTACCATGGGAGGCTCCCGAGAATGCCTCCAAGGGCTTGGAGCAAAGCTCCTTGGTGGCAAAGTCCGGCGTTTCGAATGCTCGTGGTGACGGAACGGCTTGGGTTGGTGGTGGTGAATGTGCTGATATGGAAAGACACGAGCTGTAGAGATCCTTGATAGCACATGTAGTGCATCTCTGACAGCAATCGACCTGGTTTATAGGCCCGAGCGATGCAGCTGCACCCAGCGAGCCAACGCCTGTGCAGCACGAGGCAGGTCCAGCCCGTTTGTATGCAGGAAAGAGCATCGCAGGCGTGCGAAGCGGCAAAGTTGATTCACAGTGGTTGCGATCAAGCAGAAGCTGTTGCAATGCGGCATAGACGTGATTACATTAGTCCTTTCGACACCGTACCATGGGAGGCTCCCGAGAATGCCTCCAAGGGCTTGGAGCAAAGCTCCTTGGTGGCAAAGTCCGGCGTTTCGAATGCTCGTGGTGACGGAACGGCTTGGGTTGGTGGTGGTGAATGTGCCGATATGGAAGGACACGAGCTGTAGAGATCCTTGATAGCACATGTAGTGCATCTCTGACAGCAATCGACCTGGTCTATAGGCCCGAGCGATGCAGCTGCACCCAGCGAGCCAACGCCTGTGCAGCACGAGGCAGGTCCAGCCCGTTTGTACGCAGAAAAGAGCATCGCAGGCGTGCGAAGCGGCAAAGTTGATTCACAGTGGTTGCGATCAAGTTTCGACACCGTACCATGGGAGGCTCCCGAGAATGCCTCCAAGGGCTTGGAGCAAAGCTCCTTGGTGGCAAAGTCCGGCGTTTCGAATGCTCGTGGTGACGGAACGGCTTGGGTTGGTGGTGGTAAATGTGCTGATATGGAAGGACACGAGCTGTAGAGATCTTTGATAGCACATGTAGTGCATCTCTGACAGCAATCGACCTGGTTTATAGGCCCGAGCGATGCATCTGCACCCAGCGAGCCAACGCCTGTGCAGCACGAGGCAGGTCCAGCCCGTTTGTATGCAGAAAAGAGCATCGCAGGCGTGCGAAGCGGCAAAGTTGATTCTCAGTGGTTGCGATCAAGCAGAAGCTGTTGCAATGCGGCATAGACGCGATTACATTAGTCCTTTCGACACCGTACCATGGGAGGCTCCCGAGAATGCCTCCAAGGGCTTGGAGCAAAGCTCCTTGGTCGCAGAGTCCGGCGTTTCGAATGCTCGTGGTGACGGAACGGCTTGGGTTGGTGGTGGTGAATGTGCTGATATGGAAGGACACGAGCTGTAGAGATCTTTGATAGCACATGTAGTGCATCTCTGACAGCAATCGACCTGGTTTATAGGCCCGAGCGATGCAGCTGCACCCAGCGAGCCAACGCCTGTGCAGCAGAAGGCGCCAGAGTTGACTTGGGTACAGTACTGGGATCATGTGACAGAGGCGGTCAGCGGTACGATGTCGCAACGCACAGGCGGGATTACATAGGTTCTTCCCATATCAACCCCTGAGAGACTTCCCTTCCCTTCCAAACACATCGTTTCCTGAACGTTTCCAAAATGGAACCCTAGGCCAAAGAATTCCTTGCCAGTGAAATGGGGCACGGGGACTCCTGATCCGTCTGAAAAGGAAAAGGAAGAGCTTCGATGGTCGGCTCTTTGTGCGGAGGAGGCCAAGTGTTGATTCCAGCCAAAGGGGCTTTAGGAACGGAGTTTTGGTTTCCGTTCGAGATTTCGATTGCGGCTTCGGCAAGGAGTATCAAGCCCAGCACTGCAATGCAGAATACTTATAAGCTCAAGATTCTGACCTTAAGCCCGAAATCCAGCGCAGGGATACTCAGCGTCTCTTTACCACTCTTTTGCTTTGCCAGAACGGGGGTGCGCCCCACGTTCACAGCCTCTCGAAACTTGCCCCTCACGAGGCGACGGCGATTCCTTTAACCCTCTCGGTGGCATGCCTTAAGCCCACGCTCGTTAGGACCCTCCCCCATTCGGCGATTACGGGCAATCAGCCGCCTTTCATGGTTCTCTAACCCGGGCAGCTCTCATTAGACAACGGCGGTCGATGACAACGATGAAGCCCTGCCCCTCATCAGGCAATGGTGGTTAATTGATCACATTTCTCAAGTCCACCTCTTGATTAGAAGAAGGCGGTTGATCTGGGAGGGGGAGGAGGAGGGAGGAGGAGGAGGAGGGGGAGGAGGAAGCGGGGGCTGTGGGGCCGGGACGAGAGGGGGTAGCAGTAGGAGCAGGAGTAGGAGTAGCTGCAGATGAAAATGTAGTAGATGTGCATGCAGATGCAGCTGCACATGCAGAGGGAGATTGATATTTGGAGATGGAGCCATAGTAGCAGATGTCCCATTAGATGTTGTAGTTGATGTAGTGTTAGATGTACTGGTTTGGTAGTCGTGAAAGAAGAAGTGGTAGTTAGTAGTAGTAGTAGTAGTAGTAGCAGTAGTAGTAGTAGTAGTAGTAGTAGTAGCAGTGGTGGTGGTGGTGGTGGTGGTAGTGGTAGTAGTAGTGGTAGTAGTAGTAGTAGTTGTTGCTGTAATAATAGTAGCAGTGGTACTAGTAGCAGCAGCAGTAGCAGTAGTGGTGGTGGTGGTGGTGGTGGTGCTAGTGGTAGTAGTAGTAGTAGTAGCAGCAGTAGCAGTAGTAGTAGTAGTAGTAGTAGTAGCAGTAGCAGTAGCAGTAGCAGTAGCAGCAGCAGCAGCAGCAGCAGTAGTAGTAGGAGTAGGAGTAGGAGTAGGAGTAGGAGTAGGAGTAGGAGTAGGAGTAGGGGTAGGAGTAGGAGTAGTAGTAGTAGTAGCAGCAGTAGTAGTAGTAGTAGTGGTGGTAGTCGTAGTGGTAGTAGTCGTAGAAAGTCGTGGTAATGGCTGTAGGTAATAGCTGTAGGTGGTAGCAGTAGTAGTAGCAGTATTAGCAGTAGCAGTAGTAGGACCAGTAATACCTAGTACCAGTAGTACAAGTATTACCAGTAGTAGTAGCAGCAGCAGGAGGAGTAGTAGTAGTAGTAGTAGTAGCAGTAGTAGTAGTAGTAGTAGGAGTAGGAGTAGGAGTAGGAGTAGGAGTAGGAGTAGGAGTAGGAGTAGTAGTAGCAGCAGCAGTAGTAGTAGTAGTAGGCGCCCCCCCACCAACCACCCCTCTTACATACTCTTCTCGCACACATCCATGTTGCTCTGTTTTTGCAACACTTTCGTCATGTAGGAACATCTTTTGAAGCTTCAAAATTCACCTGCGAGTTTGCAATCTCGAGCTTCCGATTCTGGACTTGCGTTTTGGGGGAGGGGTGTGGGGAGGGGGGGATGGTGACGACAGTGTTATTCAGACACCCCGAACAACATCTCCAGACGAACCGTTTTACTTGGTTTTTACAGTACTTTCATGATGCCGGACCATCTCATATAGTCACCAAAGGTACCTCTGGACTTTGCGAACTCGACTGTGGGTTTTGCGAGGGCTCTCGGCGAAAGCTCGAAATTGGTTGGGGGGAAGCTTGTGTTTTACGCGGTATTTGAAGTACTTTGGTCATGTCGTAGTCCATTGCGAACCACCGTTCTTTAGCACCATTGTTGCTTCCGGGGGGGTGGAGGGGGGGGGGGCATGATGACGTACGGGCAGCTTTTCGAACACCACACACCACTTCAAAAACAAACCCTGCTACGCTAAAGTCTGGGCTTTAAGGGTGTAGGCGAGCCCCTCCACGTACAGCTGGCATCTTTATTTTTGATGTTTAGAAGATGATGCGAGCCAGGTTTTGGGAGTGTTTAAACCTTGTTGGCAGCACCGGCGTTTTGCACGGTGGTAGTAGTAGTCGTCGTAGTACTAGTATAGTAGGAGAAGCAGTGGTAGCATTAGTAGTAGCAGTAGTAGCCGTAGTAGCAGTAGCAATAGCAGCAGTAGTAGCATCAGTAGCAGCAGTAGCAGTAGTAGCAGTAGCAGCAGTCGTAGCAATTGTAGCAGTAGTACCGGTGATAGTAGTAGCAGTCGTCGTCGTTGTAACAGGAGTGTAAGGACAACGCAAGAGCATGAAACATAGGAGCTCCACCTGCATCCTTCTTGCGACTCGACGCGAACGCTCATCCTTTCTCAGGAGTCAGCCGAAGAAAACCATTCGGCCCGAAGTGGGGCAGCTGATCAAGGCCTGCAGCTGGAGGTCACCTGCTGTACGGGAAGTGTGCCCCGATGCTCCGGCAGGGACGGAAGCCTCTGCGAGCCATGAGCCTCAAGACGAGAGCCGGGCTGGTGAGCTGGAAGAACTGCAGCCAAAAAGAAAACCGTTGCAAAGGTGTTTGGGTTCTACGCTACAAAGTTATTCCTCGGATCGTTTTGCAATGCTTCGCAGCAATTTTGCACCACAATGTCACCAAAGCCAACCCGTTCCAAAGCTCCCCACGCTGCAAGTACCAAGGACAGCCCAGGAAGAGGAAGATGCCTTCCGGGACATCCTCGAGTGGGAGGCCAACGTAAAGGAGCCGCAGTCTGGTGGGGTGGCTTGAGCATAGATGAGGCCTTATATGAATCCCTTAAGTTATGGAACGTTCGAATCCTCAAGGGCTACACTTGAGATAATACCAGACATGCCATCCGCAAGATTTCGCGTGAACTGCATCGCAGCCGTGTTCGGAACTTAGGGGTCTGACTGCAAAACCAGTGTTTGCATGATTTCGCTGCTTGCCAGCGCGTTTGTAAATAATGCAATGTAGATGTAATAGATGTCCGAAGTATCACTTTCTGTGGGTCACGGTTGCGGCAGCAACTGCATGATCATGCCTGATGAACTGGTCTCGGCGTGTGTAGTGGATTCACATTGGGCCTGCTTTTTGCTTTGCCTGGTACGGTGCGAATGAGCAGAACGAAGGATTTTGGTTGTCGAACGGAACGTGCCTATTTGTGGCATGTCGCACTACCTGCCAAAGCGGATCGAAAGCATTGCGTTGGTGGGGAGGGGGCCCCCCAGCCATGAGCAGCAATGCGACATGGCCTCCTGGTCGCAACAATACAAAACTTTGGAGGCTTTGAGGTGTTGATCAGATTTGGGAGCCCTAGACTGTAGGCATCAACTTGGAGGGAAGACTTGGGGCGGGCTTGCCGCTAGACCGAGTCTACCTGCGTGGCAAGCAACAACCCAAGGTGACTCTTCATCGGAAGCTTGACACATCACGATCTATGGAAGCCTGCTTTTGAATCGTAATCTTCATGGCGGCAAACCTTCCACAAGGGAGCATACGTCGTGGACCCTGCAGGGTTCCGAAGAAGCCCGGCAAAGCCATGTGAAAGGTTCATGGATGCCGCTGCTCAGGGTGGCGGCACGCCGGCTGGTACTGCCAAGGCAGCCTGGAGTGCAGTGTTTCTTGCTGTGGTACTGAACCTTACTGAAATCGCAGCCGTTTTCCCACAGGTGATCACCAACGGCTTGATGGCCACCGGGCCCAGTTTTGCAGGAATGTGGAGATTGTGGTTTGAAGGCGTGATGCTAGCGGGACTTTAGTAACTTTAGAAGTTGCCTGCACCAGCACCTTAAATCCAACTTGCTTCATCGCTTCCTCGGTCAGCTCGAATACATAAGCAGTTCATGTCATGACATGGCATAGTGTGACCAGACCTTGTCACGAGAGACAGGGGGAGCTTGCATGCAAGCATCTGCATGCATGTACATGCGTGTGAACTGAAGCCTGTACATATACAGGAAGATGGACAGAGAAACTAGTGACTGGAATGGGTGTGACCCTGTATGCGAGGATGAGGATGACCATGAGTATGCGTCATGCATGTGTCGTGTGCGTATACACAGACAAAACATGTATGAGCACTCACATCGTAGCTGTGGATGTAGGTAGAGTCCTCTCCATACTTAATTTCAACTGGTTGCTTAGGGAGACATGTACATGGTACTCAGACAAACATGACGATGAGACTTTTTGCAGACCTCTGCCGGCCCAGGCCCAGCCTGAAGATGTGCGACCTCCTTGGACGAAGGGCCGCTCCGAAGCCGCCGGGGTCTCGGCGGCTTCGCTTCGGGTCAGAAGGCTTTCTTTCGGCTTCTCCAGCTTCTCACAGACTGCGTTTGACTCAGACAGCCGTTTCTGCTGAGGGGTTCCTTCGCGGCTGTCTCGCTAAAGTTGCAGCTGGTAATGTTACATGCTGATGGATGGCTGCCGTCGTGTCTGCAGGAGATCTGCGAAATCGTCACGCAGTCGATCTGCGACTTGATTGCAGTACTCACGTGCGGCTCTCTCCCAACAAGGACTCGCAAATGCAGCAACTGCCATTGCTGCTGATGTTGGTGCTGCTACTGCTAGCAGCTCCAGCAGTAGTAGTAGTAGTAGTAGTAGTAGTAGTAGTAGTAGTAGTAGTAGTAGTAGTGGTAGTAGTAGTAGTAGTAGTAGTATTAGTAGTAGTAGTAGTAGTGGTGGTGGTAGTGGTGGTAGTAGTAATAGTAGTAGCAGGAGTAGTAGTGGTGGTGGTGGTGGTGGTGGTGGTGTAGTAGTAGTAGTAGTAGAAGTAGTAGAAGTAGTAGAAGTAGTAGAAGTAGTAGAAGTAGTAGAAGTAGTAGAAGTAGTAGAAGCAGCAGAAGCAGCAGAAGAAGTAGTAATAGTGGTAGTAGTAGTAGTAGTAGTAGAAGTAGTAGAAGTAGTAGAAGTAGTAGAAGTAGTAGAAGTAGTAGAAGCAGTAGAAGTAGTAGAAGTAGTAGAAGTAGTAGAAGTAGTAGAAGTAGTAGAAGTAGTAGAAGTAGTAGAAGTAGTAGCAGCAGAAGTAGTAGTAGTAGTAGTAGTAGTAGTCGTAGTTGTCGTCGTAGTAAAAGTAGTCGTCGTGCGGCTACTACTACTACTACTACTACTACTACTACTACTACTACTGCTACTACTACCACCACTGCTACTGCTACTGCTACTGCTAATGTTGCTGCTACTGCTGCTGCTGCGACCGCTACTGCTGCTGCTACTGCACTACTGCAACTACTGCTGCTACTACTACTACTACTACCGCTACTACTGCTGCTGCTACTGCTACTACTACTACTACTACTACTACTACTACTACTACTACTGTCGCTACTGCTACTGCTGCTGCTACTGCTACTGCTACTGCTGCTACTCCTGCTACTCCTGCTACTCCTGCTACTCCTGCTACTACTACTCCTACTACTACTACTATGTTCGGGTGGGCAACCGGTGGAGTACTACTGCTCCTGTAGAGGGGCAGGCCGTGGAGTACTATGCTACTGTGGAGGAGCTACTACTACTTTAAAGGGTAGGTGGGACGACTACCAAAGCCAAGCCAAGCCAAGCCACGCCAAGCCAAGCCATTTTAAAAGAGAACTCCTTTCACCATTGTGTCAGAGGAAAACCCAATCTAATAGTAAGACGTTGTCTACTAATAGGAAAACCGTATCTAACATTAAAACCCTATCTAATAGGAAGACCCTATCCAATAGTAAAACCCTATCTACTAGTAAAACCCTATCTAGTAGTAAAACCGTATCGAATAGTGAAGCCATATCTAATAGTAAAACCCTATCTAATAGGAAAACCCTATCTAATGATAAGACCCTATCTAACCGGAAAACCCCATGTAAGGAGAAAGCTTTATGTAATAGGAACAAGCCTGGCAACAAAGCAGCGTGCATTGGCGCAGAGACAGATGCGCTGAAACGGTTACAGCATGCGACAAAAGAGGCGAGAGGGGGGTCACAGGAGCAGGCTGTCGCCTACTACTACTACTACTACTACTACTACTACTACTACTACTACTACTACTACTACTACTAATACGACTACGACTACTACTACAACAACTACTACTACTACTACCATCACCACCACTACCACTACCACTACCACTACCACTGTTGCTGCAGCTACAGAACACTCGCATGATGGCTTAGAGTTCGTGCTGGTGGTCACTGGCGTGTGATAACTGTTTATGTTTTTGCTCGGATGTTTCTCTGCTTAGATCGATCCATGTTGCCAGGTGAGGCAGTAGAGGCCTCATACGTCGTCAAGGCCGCAGCCAGAATGATCAGGGAGTGCAGGCTAAAGTTTTGAGAGCTTTTTCAGGAGTCGAGCAAGAGTCAGACTACTTCTGTAGCAACGGCTGCTCAGGGTTCATGCATGCCTGTGTTCGGACATCCATCCCAGCCTATGACTACGTCGAGTCCCCTTCAAGTGGGGTAGCAGCCCAGGCCCTAAGTGTCGCAAAACGACACCTAAAGTCGAAACTCATGAAGCTGCAGATGCTCAGCAGCGAATGTGTCAAAATAGGCATATCATCTTGCTTGGCTGTTCACGCTTCCGTCTATGGAGTCTTGCATTGGCTTTGCTGTGCCGGTCAAGACAGGACTACATGGACGCAGAGCGCGCCAAGGGGCGAAACTTTGACGACATCTACAGCGAGGTCTCGCAGTCTGGGTTACTGCCAGTGACGTTCTCAGGACTGTTGCCATTGCTGTACTTTGGCTCCTGCCTGCAGTCTGTCCGTATTCTGCTTGTGACGTGGCGATGCCTGTCTTCATTGTTGCATCTTCGAGTTTGCGTTCATTCTTGTCGATAGTCTTATGGGGACCCTGAAGTATTGCGAGCTCTGGTACTAGGTTTCACTGCATTCGTGGTATTTGCTGCGGGTTGTTGTTGTTGTTGTTGTTGTTGTTGTTGTTGTTGTTGTTGTTGTTGTTGTTGTTGTTGTTGTTGTTGTTGTTGTTGTTGTTGTTCTTGCTGCAGTTGCAGTTGCTAATGCTGTTGCTGCAGTTGCTGCTGCTGCTGCTGCTGCTGCTGCTGGTGTTGTTGTTGTTGTTGTTGTTGTTGTTGTTGTTGTTGTTGTTGTTGTTGTTGTTGTTGTTGTTGTTGTTGTTGCTGATGTTGTTGTTGTTGTTGTCGTGGTCGTCGTTGTGGTCGTCGTCCTCGATGTTGGTGCTGGTGTTGGCAGCGGCGGCGGCGGTGGTGGTTCTTATCGATATTGTTGTTGCGGCTGTTCCCAATAGCACCATCAGCACTGTCAAATCATCATCGCGGATCGTTATCTTCCTCGTCGTCATCATGTCATCAAATCGTTGTTGTGATTGTTGTGTTGCTTACTTCTGTTGCGTATGTCGTCTGGTGCTTTGTGTTACCAGGTTGAAATACCCCAGAATGTAGATCAGGTCTGTGTGTCGTTGCAGAAGCCTGGCATGATGTGGTGCCGTCTTCAGATCGTGACAGCTTAGCATGTCGGGCTTGGCGACATGGTGATCTAGCAACACGGCGCATTTAACACTGTCAGCTTTGACGGTAACAAATTTCTCGCACTGCTTTCCTCCAGAGCTGACGCAGCAAGCAAGACAGCCATGACCGGCTCTCCAGCTGAGCATGAGACTCGCTTTCCAAAACCCTCCAGAATACATCCCCTATCCCCCAAGCAGAAAAGTGAAGTTCCAACCATGGCGCCTGCCTACGTCTTCTACGAGGCCAGGATCAGGTTGTTGAGGACAACTTGCGGTGGCCTATTGCAAGCACTGCAACATCCAGCACTCGAGATCTGTGATGTGGGAGCTTCTTAACATTCGAGGAATCTTACATGAAGAGCCTCATAGGAAGGACCCATTTCCGTACAGGATTTGTGCTTCTGTTGCCGGTTTATGTGTGTCGTCGCTGCCGCGGCGGGAAAGTGTTACTCCTCGCATGCAGGGTCGGCAACCAGGAGATGTTCGGTTGATGAAGGAGAAAGCAGACGCTCACAACCTTGCACAGCGAAGGATTGCACTGAAAAGCGATGCCTAAAGCAGCCTAAAGCGCAGCACGCAGCATCTTGTGAGCGAATAGTTGAGGACACAGTTCAGGACTCCCTTCGGCTCTCGCCCACTTTTTCCTCGAACCCGTCTCAGGCCCAGGCCTTCGTTTCCGATTCGCCCAAAACGGAAGCCGAAATGCGAAGGCTGTTGAGGCCTTCTTGAAGAAAGAGTGGGCTCGTTGGGGCTTCCGACTCTCGGAGATGCCCAGACTTTCAGCAGGTTTTAGCAGGGTTGAGTATGACTGGTTAAAGGCGTCTTAAACGGCTTTAAACTTCTGGTGAGTCGACTTTCCATCTGAGGAAAAGTTGAGATAGGTCGTCGTGAACGCGAGGATGGGAGTCTCAAGCTGCACTACGGTCTATGGGGTTTCTCGTAGCTTTTCTGGAGTGTGGAGGCCTGAGTCCCAAGCTTTGTTGGTTCCCAAAACAAACCTAGGCCAGCCAGGGCCTGGGAGCGATCCCACAGCCCTTTCCTCTGCAGGCCTTCAAAGGAACTGGGATTGTTGCACGGTGCACGTCCAGGCTTGGTCTTAAGATGGGGGAGACAGGGAGTCAGAAGCAAGGCCGCGAGCCCTTTTTCCTTTCCAGTGGCTCTTCAGTGCTTTCCTGCGTTCTTGCGCATTCCGCCAGCCGAGGGCCCACGTGGAAGTCATCGCGGTGGTTCGCAACACTCGGCAAGCCCTGGGGGAGAAGGGCTGCGAGATCAGACGAGTGCTCCTCGTCCGAGCAGAGAGTGGAGGGGTTTGGGATCTTCGCTTCTCCGGTTGTTGAGAGAGTGCCGTGCCGGGTCGGCCGGTGATACTGGAAGTGGTGGTGCTATGTGGTGCTGGTGATACTGGGCAGTGGTTGCTGTTCCTGCTGTTGGGGTCACTTTTGCAGTTGTCGTCGTCACTGCCGTCGTCGTCTCTTGCACCCTCCTCCCAGCCTTGCAGCGGTCCCAGCTGGTCAGGCAACACAAGTTGGAGCTCACGTTTGGGTTCCCTTCAGGCGAGCCTGGTGTTTTCCTGGACGGGATCATCCTACGGTTGTGATCTTCAGACCATGTAAATACTGAGGCCACCATGAAACAATTAATTAGTGGTTTCCTTGCGATTATTTTGCGAGCAGATTAGTGATTTAGCTTGTTTCACCAAGGGAATAAGCGAGGATTAGTGAGAAATTACTGAGAAATTAGCGGGAAATTAGTGAGAAATTAGTGGGAAATTAGCGAGAAATTTGCGAGAAATTAGTGAGCAATTTGCGAATACCTGTTGAATATGGATGTCCTGCTGCTTTCCATACAAACTTCTTGCATGTCTCTCTCAAATGTCGTGCAGCGGTCTTGCTATTCGCTCGCAAATTCCTGCCAAATTTCCATTTCTTGCAATTTGCTTGCACATTCCTCCCAAATTTCTCGCAAAGTTGTCTGCGGCTTTTGCAAATTTCTCTCAAATCTCTTTCAAATGTTCTCGCTACAGTAAGATTTCGCAAATCAATTCTTTCGTAATTTCCAGTATTTACATTCCAGAGATGATCACAATCCTACGGTGTTTCGGGTCCCAGCCTTGTGCAGCTCATTCCCTGCGAACCTTTCCCAGGTGGCCTTAACGTACGGGGTTCACTGGATTTTTGGCCTCTGGGTCACGGCTGAACTTTCTGTCATGCTCTTGAACAAGGCGTAAGGAGCGGCCACTCCGAAATCCCTAAGCATACGGTCCAAGTCCGTGCCCGGCTGTTCCGACACCCCAAGTCCGAAATCCAGCAGAATTTAATTTGTACTGCGCAACGCAGATTCCCGCACCTACTCTAAAGGCTTCGGACAGATGAGGCAGGTGTATCCCGCATTGACTGACAGCTTCCGTACAACTAATTCAGCAAACCGGGTCTACATTCTACATGCTCATGTCAGCCTCCCTTGAAACTGTCCAGAACCCCTCCAACCCTGTCATCTGGATCCTCGGCACCGACGGGCAGTGACCTTAAATCCTCAGCCCGTGATTCCCACAGTGCACTGGTGCACTGGGGGCTGCTTTTGGAGGCTCTGTGCAGATGTACTTGGAGCGTGAAGACATCTTCAAGGACATGTCTCTGGAGGAAATCGAGGACAGACTGGCACAGAAGGGGAAGAAAGGCCATCTGAAGGAAACAGGAAGTGGTTTCCAAACAGATTGGGGATTAGAGTTTGGTCTTTGCAAAGTTCATGTCCGGGGGCCTAATTCGGTGCGGCAGAGCGAATAGTGCGAGGAAGAGCAGTGGGACAGCAAGCAGCAACTGGCAACATTGCGAGCTATTCTACATTCTACGACTTGAGCCAGTAGCAGTTGCCACAAGTAAATTTTAAATGCAACCTCCATGCTCCCTGGGAAGGTCGCGGAAAAGGCAAGGTCAAGGGCAAGGACTGCATGTTTCAATGTTTGACAGTGCACAGCATTGCGAGAGAGGGGTGTCAGGGTGTTGCCCCACAAGTGCCTCTCTGTATCCTGCTTGGGGAGGAAGTGTGACATGTCGGCCGTGTTGCTTCTTCTCTGCTACAGGATTGCCTCGCAGCCACTGTATCAACTGCAGCTTCACCTCCCATCTCAAAACTGATGCTTTGACAGCATGAGTGAGGAGGATGACAGCGACGGGTCAGGTACGCTGAAGAGAAGTCCTGCCCTGGCAGATTCCTTCAGCATCATGTGCAAGGGCCGTGCCAACTTATAAGGGATTCGTGCGTCCAGCTTCGCATGGGGTGGAGATAGCCGGCCGCGCACCAGGATCTTCTTGCAATGTACATCATGTTCTAGAGACCCAGTTGTGAAGTTCAAGCGAACTGGCCCATTCAGTTCAAACAGTGCATTGATGCACCGCATTTGCGATTTTAACTTCCTTTCCCAGCTCATCCGCAGGCTCTGACAGAGAAAAGGGCAAAGGGAGAATGCAAGGAAGGGACGAGGATTTGCAAAGGGACTGCCGTTCTTTTGATGACGTGGCTTTGCGAGGTTGGCAGTTCAAAAGTGAAGCTATACTAATGCAGTGATGGCAGAAGGTTGCTTTTCGATGTCTCGGACCGACTTGAACCTCAAGTTAGTTGGAGCTATTACACTGCTCAAGAAGACGGTCGTGGTCGAGTCGTGTCAACCTCTTAGTTCCTGCGAAGCTCACGCACCTTCGAGTCCCGCCTCGTCCGCGGCCTCGGAAAGAGCTCTGAAGGATTCTGCCGATGCAGAGAGCGTCGAGGAGGCATCTCCGGGCCCTGGAAGTTGGAGTCGGGCAAGCTGTGAAGCGTTGCAGGGGGATTCATTTGGGTCCAGTGTGCAGCTTCTCAGTTGATTTCGGCATGCCGCCCAACGCCTGGAAAAGCACTTTGCTGGAGCCTAGCAATGCATGTTAGTGCAATGGCCCGCTCCGTCAGGATCCGATGCCCTCGCGAGGCCGGATCTCTGCTTCACACTCATACTGTAGGTTCTGGGCACTCAGGCCTTGCAAGCAGTACCTTGGAGGACCAACAGGTCTAAAATTAGAGAATGCAGGTTGCTGGCTCGTGATCACAATAGTGATGGTCATTCTGACGTTGTGATGACAAAGCTGAGTCAGATGGTGACCATGACTGAAAGGCTATGGTGGAAAAGGCCACACCAAGCACAAGCCGCGCGAGCCCACGACAACCCAACGCCGGGAAGGCTCCGATTTGGACGGTTGAAGAGTGTTCGGGGTTATCAAAGATTCAGGGACTGCCTCGAGTCTCTATCTCCTGTAGGACGTTCCGGATGCGGGTTCAAGAGTCCCAGGGAGCACATTGTGGCACAGTTCGTTGTCAAGTGTATTGGGAAGCTCCCGAGGCTAGCACACAGTATTTCACAGTTCCGAACAGCTGCAAGCCCTGACCTCCAAGCCGAGCTTTCCTGGGCCAGACGTGGATGCTCCCGAGGGGGGGGCTGAAGAAGGAACCGTCCAAAACCGCGGTGCTCCCAAGGTTTCTTCGGTCCTCCTTGTTGAGAGAAGCCAGACTGGAAGCTCAGCAGATCCCTGGAGGTGACAGGCTCTTCACAGACGAGGAGCACCGAAAATCACTGGATCGCCTTCTGGACATTCAGGTCGCCTGTCTACTAATACTATCATGCTCGCATTCTTTTGGTTTCGACAAACCCCGATGCGAGGCCCGGCTGGAGGCGAAGAAACACGAGCTACCGCTGGTGGAGGATTGGCCGAGCTTTGTCGGGTCGGTCTCCTCCCTCCTTGAGCTTGCTGTAAAGTCTGTCAATCGCTCCATGCGTGTTAGAGCCTTCGCAGGAGCCCATGAAACAGCAGTACCGATATGCCTTGCGCCTTTGGCGGGAGCTGTCTCTGAGGAGCTGAGGCTGAACTGAGACAGGTATGGGGTGGTCTTGAGTCAAGGGCGCTTTTAGGAATGGTTGTTGTTTATGTCGGGCTTCGACTTAGACTGCTGGGCGCTCTTTCATTGTTTGGGGTCTGATCATATGGGCTTCAAAGCACGGCTGCAGGATGCTTTACAAGAGGCAAGGCTGATGGAGTGGCCGCACATTGGCACAGTCTGTATTTTGGCATGTGTATGCTCCCGAAGTTGGCTATGTCTTTCGGTATACACTTGGAGGATCTCGCGAAAAGACCGGGCAAAAAGTTGGCCCTGCAAGCTTCTTGCCAAGTCTCCACTTCAGGATTTCGCATCTATATCTTTTTCTGTACCTCTGTTGCGCCCCGGCGTGGTGGTCCTGGCGGGTGTTGCCTTGGTCGGCTCCTCGCCGCTGGAACGGGTGATCCTCTTCGCCCCGATGAAACAGCTTATCCTGGCAGGGTTGAGGCATGCGCGTTCATAGAGAGAGACTTCGACTCCACTTACTTATAGGCTTTTCACAAAGAGAGATGATCGTGAGTATCCAAGGATCGGCCCAAGCCCTCCGCCGCCAGATGTGCCGGTGCGGCTCGACGGCAACAGCTTCGCATGAGGGCTTGCTTACGGTTTTTGCTTTTCTCCCGCGCACACACACACACACTCTCTCAGTCATATACAAAAATAAATAAATATATATATATATATATATATGGATATGGTCACAAACCCCAAGATCTACACCCGCCTCTTCCACACAATTCCACAGGTTGCTTCTCTACATTCGTCGACTACTCATATATGCCGAAAACACCGTAATTGCCGATACAATCGTGCTTGACTCCATGTGCATGCAAACCGTGCTGCCACAAGTCACGGGTTTGATATGCGTAAAAATCTGGCGCCGAATCTCGCCCGCAGATTTATGGTAGTTCATGTGTTGGAGAAGCTGAAATGCTGGAGGGCGTGGTATTTTTGTTCATGTAGTACTAAAAAACCTCGTGTTTTTTGCGTTTTATGGTGTGTTATTTAACAACATTCCTCTACTAATAAAAATACTATTGTCTCTCTTACGAAGACGTTTGTGTGCGTGGGCCATCTCTTTCCCGCTGCTCGTGAAGCGTCCGATTCTGATGCGGCCTAATAGCTCTAGCAATTGATTTACGAAGCACAAAGAGCTCCTTTCATGTCCTGTCCATTATACATGAAGGAAGTCGAATACACGGGCGCGTTTATTTTTGAGGCAATACTCCAATAGTTGCTCTTTGCCTCATAAAAAATGGGAAAGCTCCCCTGGAGTTGAAAAGTTCATGTGCATATGCGGGCGCGCAAGAAGGATCGTCTGCAGCAAGAAGTAAGAGAGCTCTTGCAACCTTCCAAACATGAAGCAAGACTAATTACGACTGGCTGCATTGATGCGTATCAATCACAAGGCAGTGGCTCCTTCACCTTGTAAAACAAAATAAGATGGCATTTCATGGAAGAAAACTCCTCTTTATATTGTGAGTCGATATTAAAGGCAGCATGTGCATAGCAATCGCTATCTATTTTTGAGGATACTCATTTGGGCCATCCTCATACCTATCAAGCAAGAGACATACAGATTTGTGCTAATCCAGAAGAAAAGTATACGATGTCACCTTTAGCCTTTGAAGACTGAAGAGAGCTCCCTTTCATGTTGTGATACGAACTATGACAGCGTCTAAACCACAGTCATAGACAGAAGGACCGGTACCGCTTTGTCAGGATGTGAGGGAGGTGGCTTCAATAGAAACCGATACAAGTCTCACGCCTCTTGCCCGTGTAATAAAAGATACCAGTAAGCAAATAAGCAAGCTTTTCTTTGTCTGCTGATCACATCTAAGGAGTGTCGCTTGAAACTTGAAGAGAGCTACTTTTTTTGCGTTACATTCTATGACAGCAATTAGAGAAACAGCCATGGGCATAGCGATCGGTATCTTCTCCGGGGTATAAGACAGCAGCAATAAGAGTTACCCGAGTCAAAACTCATGTCTCATAGGAATCCGAATAGGAAGTCTCCATTGTTTCTGATGATAGCAAAGTGCAAACAGTTTCCCACAGTCTTCAGTACGAAATGAACGAACTAAGTGCTAGATAGGCATGCTCTGCTACAGTGTTGGATTTGTAGGCGGTGCAGCTTGCCGAAGAAGGGCCAAAACCAATTTCGAGAAAGCTCAGGTACTGGAGCCAGTGCTGCTGGTGCCATAGATCTACCAACCTCCGAAAACATACATGAAGTAAACTATGCAACGACTAGCCGGGCCTTGTTCATACTTAACAAACCCGAGTAATGAAAACCGTTGCTGTTCCAGAAGACACATAAAGCAGTACTTCCAGTCCTTAACTGAAAGCACACAATTATCTTGTGATGCAATATATCCTGTCCTGGACATCAGAAAGCACTGTAATGCTCAAGCCTGAAACCCACGAAACACTGTAATGCTGAAAGAACTTCCAAAAATTCCAAAATTCTATCATCTATGGCCAGGCCGGGGGCAGATTCCTTAAACTTTTGGAATTGTTTGAGCATAGCAGTGTTTCGTGCGTTTCAAAGCTTGGAAAAGTTGATTTTTTTTGAGCATTACAGTGTTTCGTGGCTTTGACATCACAATACACTGTAATGCTCAAAAAAAATCAATTTTTCACTGCCTCAAAGCTCACAGAATTTTTTGCATGCCAGGGTTTCGTGGCCTGAACCTCACAAAACACTGTAATGCTCAAAAAAATACACTTTTCAATGCCTCAAAGCTCACGAAACACTGCTATGCTCAAAAAAATCCGAGATTTTATGGAATTTGCCCCCGGCCTGGCCATAGATGCCAGGCTTTTGGAATTTTTGGAAATTTTTGAGCATTACAGTGTTTCGTGGGTTTCAGGGTTGGAAATTTTGGAATTTGTTGAGCATTACAGTGTTTCGTGCGCCCCATGCCCCAAAAACCACGAAAGCGTAGATCTTGGGGGGGCGAGCGTATACATATATATCATATATATATATATATACATATACATATATATATATGTATATATATATATGTATATGTATATGTATATGTAGATGTAGATGTAGATGTAGATGTAGATGTATATGTATATGTATATGTATATGTATATGTATATGTATATGTATATGTATATGCATATGCATATGTATATGTATATGTATATGTACATGTACATGTACATGTACATGTACATGTACATGTACATGTACATGTACATGTATATGTATATGTATATGTATATGTATATGTATATGTATATGTTATATGTATATGTATATGTATATGTATATGTATATGTATATGTATATGTATATGTATATGTATTTGTATATGTATATGTATATGTATGTATATGTATATGTATATGTATATGTATATGTATATGTATATGTATATGTATATGTATATGTATATGTATTTCGTATATGTATATGTATATGTATATGTATATGTATATGTTTACATATATATATATATACATATATACATATATATACATATATATACATATATATATGTATATATATATGTATGTATGTATGTATGTATGTATGTATGTATGTATACATGTATATACATATACATATACATATACATCTACATCTACATCTACATCTACATCTACATCTACATATACAGATACACATACATATACATATACATATTCATATACACATACACATACACATGTACATTTACATGCACATGCACATGCACATGCACATGCACATACACATACACATACACATACACATACACATACATTTATATACACAAATAAATACATAGGCATTGAGCCACACATACATGTCGATGATCGACAATGATGCATTAGTCAACGTACTGCATCAGGACATTTTTCAAGCAGACTTGCATTTAGTTCATTGACGCCGAAGGCACTTCCGGAAAGTCCCAGTGTAGGTTCTTCGCTGGTCCGAACAATACTGAAACTTTCATAGCATCTCCAAGGGCTCAACACTCAACACTTCTTGTCCCACAACATTGTCCGAAACCCCAAAAAGCCAAGCTTCTTGCTGGCCCAGGCAGATCTACGGGGGTGATGCACTGCCGTCACCGTTCTCGGTGCCGCCGCTCTGAAGCAAGGGACTGTTCCATGCATGGCATGGCATCATCTTCGCTGTATCTCAGCTTTTCCCGCCCCGAAGCCTCGTGGAGCCTGGGCCGAGTGCCTATAGACCTAGAGGCCAGAGTTCAGAGAGTTCACTTCGTGCGAGCCGAGGACGGGCGACTGGGGCGCAGACGACTGGGGCGCTCCCAGTCCTCTCTTGGACTGGGGCGATCCGATTGCGGTTGATTGGGCCAGGGACTGAGAATCAGCGTTCACGCTGACCACCTGACAAAGCAGGAGTGCCAGTGCACACGACGATTGAAGTTGGGAGCTGTCGGGGCCGAGTTTCAAATCAGCAGACTATAACTACAGGAGAAACGCTACCACAGCCAAAGTTTCCCGTGCACGTTTGACCCCAGGCCAGCCCACCTGTGGACAAGGGGTCGGGAGCTCAGCATTGCAAACGCAAAAAACAGAACGGCCACCACCACAGCGGCACGACCGACACCCTGACACTCACACTCATCCGTGGCTATCGTCATTCTCATAGCCAGCATAGCATCACCATCGCTACAGTCTCCGCTACCACAGTCACGGCCATCCTCAGCAACTGCACGAGAATATCATCATGGTTGTAGTTATCGCCAGCGTCAGCACCAGAAGCAGCTTCTTCGAACTTACTGGCACAGAGGTCCGCCGGCGGAGCCAGTGGTGCTCAGGCAGGAGGGCCCGGATTTGTTCGCAGGTCTCAGTCGGCTTGGCTCAAGAATAGGCCTTGAATTGGGATTTGGAGAGCGATCGCGCTGCTGATTGAGTCCGTCTAACCCCCGACCTTCTCAAATCTGTGCCCTCGAGTTCGCCACTGCCTGGAGGTATCCCGCAAGCTCCACATTCTCGGGTCTTCAGAGATTCAAACTCTGCAGCTCCAGGCCATGTGGATCTTCAGGATTTCGGGGTGTCTCGGGCGACTTGGGCGCTTGGCGAGCCTTCTAGGCATCCGCGAGAGTCTCGGATCTGCTGGAGCAGCTCCGCGAGGCGAGCCGGGATCTGCGCCGTCGCGCCTTTCTGGCCAGGCTTTGCAAATTCCGGGAGCGGTCTAGAAGCAAACGGGTAGCGGGCTATGAAGAAGCTTCAAGTAAGACCATGGAACATGGGCTTCCAAGAGACGCAAGAACATCAAGGAAACAGAAGCGTCTGAATGCTTGACAACATACGCAGAGGCGCCGATCAATGGAACACCCATGCATGACTCATCTTTTGACAAGCCAAACGATGCTACATCCACTGCTTCTTGACTTTCATCTCGCGAGTTTCTGGGTTTTTCGGGGACCGCTGCTGCAGGAGCGAGGCATCCCGAAAAAAAGGGAGATTCAGCACCGTGGCCAAAACATCGCTTAGAAGCCCCTGCAGCCCTGATTAGAGATTTCTTAAGCTGTCGCTCGTAAGCCGGGTTTGAGTTGGAGTGTTTGGAGGGTTGGATAGGCCGCAGCATTTGAAGGATGGATCGATAAGTATAGCTCTGGTTCCGTACATATCGTACAGCCACAATGAGTCGTTTCTGCGAAGTTCGGGCGGGTTTTAGACAAAAAGTCATTGCAGTTCCAAGACACAGGTTGTGGCACAGTTCCTTCGCAGCTCCTGTCATCCGTCCACAAGGGTGGATGTTTGGAGATGAAAACCTTGTGCAGTGTCTCACACCTATAACTTTGTCGAAACTTAGCTGACAATGAAATTCCCGCAAGCTTTTCAAGCACGGCCGCCCAGGCTAGTGCTCATGCCAAGCGGGCAGGTTTTGGATGCCGCTGGACGAAACCAGAGGTACATATGTGTGGCGAATGCGTTTGTTCTGGACTGCGCGGTTTGATTCGCTTTGCCCTCTTTGTCTCCGGAGTATCTCTGAATCCAAGATGCCGAAAGCGGAGTCTGCTCGTGAGTGTGCCCAAGCCCCCGACCCGATGGATTGTCATGGTGAAGTAAGATGATCCCATCAGAATGGCCGACTGCAGCTGAGGAAGACAACCCGATCAGCGGTTTGCCCGCAGATGAAGAGCTTACACTTATTCTCTAGGAGACGTGGCTGGAGTGCGCTTGCAATCTCTGAAGTTCGACTAGCTGCAAGTCGGGGTTTATTCCGTGCCGATTCCTTGAAGCTGTTCTAAATTTGGACCAATAGCGACGAATTAAACTGAAGGTCTGAATTCTACATTTTGCAGGACTTACCTTGTGGTACACAGTCAAGTTTCGTTCACCGAGATAGATTTGCGTGACAGCTGGGCCCACGGCTTTGCGTAGCCCTCGCCGGTGCTTGAGTGTGACACTGAAACACCGCTCTTCAGTGGCCCCAACTGAAAACTCAGAACAAGGAGCCCGAAGCGACCGTCAGCGGCAGCTGAAGACACGGAAGCCTCCCAGAGGAGTCGATGTGCACGTCTCTGAACGCCCAAAGACATCCTGGACTTCCTGAGACGGAACACTGGAGTTTACTCACGGGCGTTAGTTACAGGCTTCCAGTTAATGTTGGTTCTCTAGGTGCTGATTTCGGGCTGGTTGGTGCGCAACAGTGGGAAATTGAAGGGCATTTCGGGTATCTTGGTAGCTGGCCTTTTTTTGCATGCCGCTTTTCAGGCTCATCCCAGGCCTAGGGAGGACTCCAGCGTTACGGTGTCTGTGTTTTCGGGGACCGCCAAAAGGGCGGCTCCCGACTGCAGGCCTCGGCTCGAAAGTCTAGGTCAGGGTTTCGGCTTCGGCTGTTTGCCACGAAGGCTCTGGCGGATGACGGGAAAAGAGAGCCGAAGTTGCGAAGCCAACCAACTGATGCCTGCCGGGGCTAGGAGACTTGGGCTTTGCGAGGGCACTTCCACTTCGCCTGCGAAGGGATTTTGTTGAGTTTGAGACACAGTTGGCAATTGGACATGTCGGACTTCTCTGCTAGTCGAGCCAAGCCTTACGTGAATAGCCCGCTATATGCCAGGTACAGCCGTATCTCGAGTACGTCTCGAGGCACTTGCGGTTGGGATTTACATCGAACGGAATGTGCATAAGGATACAAAGCTCATGACCCAGACAGACCTCGGAGGGACGGACAGAGTCTAGCGGCCATGTAACGTGCAGGTAGATTGGAGGCTTCGAGAAGCTTGATGCTCAGGAACTTAAAGGATGGAGGCCAGAGTTATGAAGATCCACCTGTGTCTACCTGACGCCTTCTGGGAGATCCCCCAGATGACTACATAGTGAAGTTAAAGCCTCGAAGCTCCCTCGGCTCGACCGCGAGGCCGCTGGATGATGTGAGCGCCTCTGAGCTAGCCCGGGAGCCCGGGTTTCATAAACCGAGCGCCGAGTTGAGGTTTGGGACTTTGGGTGCTTCTTCTGACTTTCGTCAGGGCCTCGTGGGCGCTCGTAGTTCGGCACGGGGCAATGGGCTCGGGTTTGGTGGCGTCTGAAATTGATGTCATGTCGGCACCGGAGGGCAGACATGTTGTTCAGTGCTTCAACCAAGGCTGTTTCAGGCAAGTATCCGTAGTGCGTCTGAACTTTCCCCAGGTCGAATCCAGGCGCCTCCGACTCTGTTCATGAGCTGCTTCCGCAATCCGCCTGGTGAAGCCTTGGAGTTTGCTTAACTGTTGCGTGACGTATGTGTACTGTTGCTCCATTCAAATCCCATACAGCAAGATACACGTACGGTCACCAACAAATCCTCTAGGCCCAGCTCGACGTAGACACAACGAAGGGTAGCCAGAACCAACCCAAATGGCAAGAAGAGAACATGCCGGACTTGAGCATCGTGTAATTCTGGTTCTTCGGAGCAGCTTCAATGCCATCGCGGAATTGTGCTTGTGCTGCATGAGACGGAAGCTTGTTGAGCTCACGGCATTTTGACATAATGTAAACATGTTATGCTGGTCGTATTGCTGGATTCTGGTCTTGCAAGGTTACGCTGCAAAGTGAGACTTGGGCTGGTGCTGCGTTGTTTAGTTGAAGTTGATGTGGGTTGGAGCAGTTCAGTTCACGTCTTAGTCTGGGTGGGTGGAGACTCCATGTGTGCAGATGCCGGGATGCTTTCGCTGTTGCCTTGTGGCAGGTTTCGGGAAGGCCCTCCCACGTTTCAGGCGCGGAGGGATGCAGATGTGGTGGGCTCAAGGCTTTAATGCTGAGCCACGAACGCTGTTGCCTATTGCTAATTCTGCCCCAAGAGCAGGCGGACACCATGTTCGGCCAGGGCCAGGGTGAGAATGCAGGGGTCGGTAGTTGCTGAATTCGAGAGTTCTGAGGGTCCTGAAGGCGTCCTACCGAAGTTGAGCCGAGTGCCGTTGCTCGCACTTTTGTGGCTTTTGTCGGAATACTTCGTGCAAGCCATGAAGGGACCCGGTTTGCCTGCTTGGAGTAAGGGTTTGCCAGATCCAACGGAACAGCTGTTGCAACCTACTGATCCGGTAGAACCTTTAGGGTAAGATCCGAAGTCCTTTCTGTATTCTCCGGGGTCGCCCGGCCAGGAGCAGGCTGCAAGAAGGGAGGCGCGATACTGATTTTGCAGTTTGCCCCGTGTTACAGGGGGAAGAGTCTACTTTGAGCCTTCGGATGCAAGTGACGCTTTCATGGCCTCTGCTTTGTTGAGTGGTTTTGGATCTGATTTGCACAGCGTGCTATGCTTATGCCGTTGACAGCACGCTTGGATTGATGCTCCTGTTGGGCCGGTTGCACGATAGCAGGCCGGACAAGCGCAATGTGGAACAACTGCTTGATCAACACCTGCCCCCCCCCCCCGCGCTTACTTCTGCAAGACTGAAGTACGATCTCGGCTTCGGGCAGCTAGAAACTTGCGGACAAATGCGCTAAGCCTGCGGGGCCAGAGCTGTTCAGAATCTCGGATGGCTTCAAGGAGTTCTGCGAGGGACGCCCTACATCTTACTCGTCGATTCGTGATCTAGTATGGAGCCCTCTTGGCCATGATTGTGCATACGATGATCTTAAATCCTGGGTATGATGTGATTTTAGATCCACCTTGTCACGGCTTGAAGCGTAGCGTTTTTGCGCAGGCATCCGGACAGCTCAGAAACAGAAGGAAAAGAGCCAACAAAGACAGCCGTAGCAATTGAAGATACAAGCAGAAACCGCAACATTTCCACGGTTTAGGGTCTTTGGTATGTGGCAAGACTCCAGCCTCACAGAAACCCCCTGCTGCTGCCGGGTCCTCTAGTCTAGAAGAGATACCCGATACTTCTTCTCTATGCATGGTGAGCCTCAGGCGAAGCGGGCGGCCGCACCACACAGGAATCTCACCGTCAGGGACCCCAGAGAATCGATCTCAGGAATCTGGAACTCTTCCAAGTGTCTAGGATTTTCTGGGGCCTTGCCTAGGGGCCTAGCTTTCCGGGATAGTTTTTACATCGTGATGAGGGTTGCCTGGCTTTTCAGGCAAGATGTAGCAGAGCCGAAATTTCACACCCGCGCTCCCAGCTCACATCATTCTTTCTTTTCGGTTGGAGTGTTGGGTGGTCGAGGATGCAAATATGATTGCTCACATACATAGGATCAGGTACCCGCTCAAGTCTGACCTTCAAGATAGTCCTCGTCGTCGTTGTCGGCAGCACAGCGGTCGAAGGATTACTCGTTCGATTTTCGACTTCTGCCATGATGATTGCTATTTAGGGTTGTTTCCAACTCGAGATCTAGCTGGCTGTCACACATCCACAGATCCATCCATGCAGCCAGCCACCCATGCATGACACGTCTTCCTCCCAGCTGTGTCAGGCCTGGCCCGCTGCGCCGCGGCTCTGAGGGGCGAAGTTTCGTGATTCAGAACCCCCAATGTCTCAGCATCTAGGAAGTTAGGGGTCACAGCTTCCGCTCATGGCATTGAAGGATACCTTGTCTTCAAGTGACTTGAAATCGACATGCCCCAAATGCCCATGCCCGCAGAAGCCAAGCCTCCGAGCCTCAGCTACTGGAGCTTCGACACCTCCAAAAGTCCTAGTTCCAAGACTTTTCAGCATTTTGCACATCTTCGAGGACTTCTTCGTTAATGTTCCATGTAGATGGCAAAGACCGCCATCCAGCGTGCAAAAGATCAGCGGCGCGGTTATATAGGAGCCCGAAAGCCCAGCGATGACCACGGCGGTCCGACCGCCCATTCCTTCCGAACGAGGAGACCGATGCCGCCCTGCGCCGGTCCAAGAAGGCCTGGCGGCTGCCGCTTGGGTCTGCTAAGCGCCGCCGAGAGCCGGGGACACTTGTTCCTAGAAAGGGTCGTTTTCGATTCAGGAGGCGGCATTTCTAAGCCCAGTAAACTGGCTCTTGGACCTGTCGTTTCCTCGAACACTCCCAGCTCAACGCATGACACGGGCCGCAACAGCGCGGCCCCACAGACCCCGGAACTTTGACCCCGCATCCCTGCGGAGAGGATGCCATCTTTGACGACATGCCACCGGCGAAGGTACGTCATGCTTGAAGCTTCATTCTTTCGGATTCGGGTTCCAAGTTCCAGGTCTCGCCTGGCAACTCCATCCCTCATCCCCTTCCTTCTGCCTTCTGCTAGGCCGAGTGGCAAGCGAAGAGTGCCCTGCACCAAGTATGAACCACCAAGTTGAGCTTCTTTCGAGCTCGGCGAGCAAATTCTGACATGCATTCCCAGTCCGCCGTACTGTTGTTGTAGAGGTCCGTGCAGTGCTTAATCCCTACGCTTGCTGCAGTCAACGGTGCTGCATCCGTCTTCGTTTTCTGCTGGGCTCGGGGCTTCTTCTCACTTGCCAGTAAGTCCAGCGTGGGCAGGCTCCAGCTTCTGCAAGCTTGTGCCAGATCTAGCCCCGTCGCCTGTCGATGTCGCTGAGGTTGACAACCAAGTCCGAAAGGTGCTGGGCCCCAGTCAGAAACGAAGCGCCGCCGGTAAAAAATGCGAACTGATCTCAAGCCTGCTTTTGGTGGCCGAAGGAAGAGCCTCCCTCCCTCTCTCCCTCTCGCTCCCGAACCTGCAAAATTTCATTCTCCAGAGCCAGAGAGCACAGTTTGCAAGGTGAAAGTTGCCGAGCCACGAAGGGTTCGCGACAGTGAGGAGGCAGCCTGCAATACATTCGCTGCCTGCTCTGCTCTCCCAGAGCCCAAGAGCCCCCAGGAGGCGATCTTCGAAGAAGAGGCCAAGAGAAGGGCGGACGGACAACGCTTCTGGGGGCTGAGGGTCGTGTCTCAGTTGGTCTGGGGTTGACTCTCATTACCTTGACTCGACAAACGGAGCTTCCAGTGCAAGGCTCCGTGATGGTCATTTCGGAGAATCGAGCACGTGCGGTTCATGATCGGGCAGCTTAACTGTTTAACCGCTGCTGTGCAGGAGTGTGGACATGGTGCCCTTTCCGTAAATCCCGAAAACCCAAACCGCGCAATCTGCTGCCTGCTTACTGAGAGTTGGGCTCAAATTCCAGCAGCAGCTTGGAGTTCGACCTTCTGTGGCAACCCGCCCAAGATGCAGTCTCAGCCGGTGGCTCGGCAGGACGCGTAATTGACTGTTTGGGGGGGGAGAGACTGGTTACTTGCTGCTTGCTCGTCTCAAGCCTGGTTTTGACTCAAGCCTTGAAGAGAGACAGATTCGCACTCGCACCAGGTGCAGCACCGTCAACCGCGACGCCCGCAGCGTCCGGCCGAGCAGGCGAAAGAGCTCTGCACCAGGGCCCTGCTTGTAATGTCCAACCCCAGTCGGTCTTTAGGCCGGATTCCGGGCCCATGGTTCGTCGGTCCACCAGAGTCTCTCAGAGAGTGCTTGCGATTGTTACCGATCTCTGTTTGCCTGTGGTTTTGGCTGCATGAGCTAACTTATGGTCGATTACAAAGCCTGAAGTGGCAGGAGCCCTTCACTACCGTGATGATCCGTCGACTTCCGGTGGAGATGACAGAGGATCAACTCATCTCCATGCTCAACAGTCTCGTTCCAGGCGAAAGGGAGAGGGTTCAGGGGCGGAGTATGAGGTGAGGAATCTTGTTTTCGATTTCCTGCAGCCGTCAGCCGTTGCAAGGAGTACTGAAACTAGTGACAGCGCCGTGTGCTGTTAGTATTACGTACTTGGCCCGGTGAACGGATCCCACCTCCGGCGTGCATTCCGGGCAGTTGTTTTCGACAGACGACACCCGAAACATTTGGTGATCCTGCATGTGTCCATGACTCAAGAGAACATCGCCCCAACGATAGCACCCAGACATTCCGTCAGGGACACTACAGCGGGAGGATTCTCAGCTTCAGAGTTTTCACCAGTTCTGGCCCGATAGACCCAGGCGTCAGACAGCTTGGAATGTTGCGTCACAGGCAAGTTTGACTTCGTGTACATGCCTCACGACCGTCGCAAGAAGTTGAACATATCGCTGGCCTTCATCAACTTTGCACCTTGGAAAAGACCAAGCTGTTGGGGTTCTGGGGTTGATGATTCTTGGTAAGTCCTGCATGCACTTCTGTCAACAAAACACCACAGGATTGACTTTGCCGGTATTCCTCGAGAACGGGAGGGATGATAAACAACAAAAACCCGAGAGCATTTCTTTAAGTAGATGCGCCCATAAGTTGGGAGCAATCGAATGATTTGTAAAAGGATAGGAGTAAAACAAAACGATAACGACTATGCGAGACATCCTGCAGTCCCAAAGTCATCCACAGTCCTGTAAAACGATACAGAGTAATAGAAACGATCGCCGAATTAAGGGTCAAGCAAGTGGGTGGGGGGTTTTCACGCACACGGTGAAGGTCCCAAACACGATCCAACGTGCCAAAGCTACGAGATCCTCAAACAAGCCTAGCGGCCTAGCGGAATAGCGAGCAGCACTCCTGCACCTGAAGGTGGACACTGGGAGTGCCCAGGAGGTTGCAGACTACGTCAATCGTTTGAACAAGCGCGCCTTGCCATTTCATTCTGGATTTTGAGATTCCTTTCCAGCACTCTTTGACTCGGAGCATGTTTGACAGCCTAGTGACTTCAGACGGAGCTGAGGCAGACAGTGGACTATGGTCGCCTGCGCCAGTAACGTTCAGAGTCTGCACCACAACATGGCCTACTACCTCGCTCGCTTCGGTGTCCACACCATCCACGATGCCTACTCCCCAAAGCTCTTTCAGGACGGCCGCCGACCCCCCGCAGATTAGGAACAAGTCTGTTGAGCGTACGTAGGTGTTGTGCTCCTCGCAGGTTTAGCCTCGAGCTGAGGCTTGCCGATAATGTTCACGCTCACTCTGCGTTCAACCCAATCCCTCAAAGATCGCCAAGCCAAGTCGAGCAAGTGTTGCTGGCTGCTGAGCTTCGCACATCTGTGACTGTTGCGTTCAGCCCTAACCTCAAAAGTGCAAGACCCCGAGCCCGAATTCCTTTGAAGCCCAAAGCCCAAAAGCTCCGAAGGACGGTAGGCTCGTAGAGAACGCCGGCGAGCTTGTTGATATCTACAAAGCATTGCCCGGGAACTTGTTCCAGGAGGCAGGGTGTCATTTCAGCGCAATTGAAGACTGCAGCAGTCACCCTGCAGCAGTCACACAGTCACTATGCGTTTGTTTCTGATGGCCTTTGCATAAGGGTTCGGCATCACGTGTTTTGCTTGCTGAAATGAAGCATTTACGCGAGCTGGAATGGGGTTGTCAAAGCGTTGAACGAGCCCAGACACCCATTAATACTACACGGTTGGAGACTTGAGCAGATTTGACCAGCTGTTCAGTCTTGTCAGCAGGCTGTCGATGCGCAGAACGACGCCACGGGCGAAAGCTGATAGACACAGCAATACGACAATGCGAGTAGTTGCAAGAGCATTGAAATCGGAACAGCGCTTATGGTAATGTTAGCAGTCCGAGGAGAAACTGGGTTCCACAGCACTGCAACTGCAGCTGCAGTCACAGTTGTATGCCTTCGTGCTGTCAATTAGGCAACACACCCTGTTAAGCAGCTTTACGGGGAGTTGATGTCAAGTGGGAGTTTATGCTAAGCGTACGGGGATTTGGTTTGTGATGGCCCCAAATGCGCCCCCAGCGTTCTCGCGGCTTTGGCTGTGACGCGGAACACATGTTCGACAATGTTCGACAAAACAATTCGCGTCATTTCCACAGTCCGCCTGCGTCCTCCTGAACGCCGACTTCGTTTGTCCAACACTGAGTGCTCCTGAACTTGTGAATCGCCCTCCCGCGGCAGGAGCGTGCGCGCTTTCTGCGAATGTGTTGAGTGTAAATTGATTCGTTTTTGGCTTTCAGTCTGCTGAAGTAGCTAGACTTCTTGCACGGCCACCACCCCCCCACAGAAATAGGGGCATGGGGCATGTGGGCAAGGTGCATTCAGGCGCAAGGCATGGTCCGCCAAGAACCTTCGGACCACATGGGCAGAGGACTGATAGGATATTCGTACCCACCCCTTCAGAACGGGCAGCACTCTTCGACAGATCCGTCCAGGGCCCAGGGTTTTGCCCCACCTTGCTGGGACCGTTGCATGCGATGCTCGAACACTTGGGTGGACCGGCTCACTCAGCTAGTCTTGCAAGCGGCTCCGCCTGGAAGACAAAGACCGACCTCGCTGGATCCTCTTTGATGACTTTCTCCGGGCATTCTAAGCGGTGCTAACAGCAGCATTTGACCATCGGAAAATGGCAGACATCGACTTGGAGCATCGATTTCGATCCGATGTCCCATGATTGTCAGGAATCCTTCTTTATTCGGCTGCGCAAGCACTGTTAGCAAGAAATATTCTGGAGGGCAGTTGTTTACGCAACGTGGAAATTAGAAGTACCCTCTTAGTTTCTCGGTTCCCGATGCCTACTATTACAAGTACAAGTATTACTACCGCCGCTACCTCCTGCTTCTGCTACTACTAGTGCTACTGCCGCTGCCACTGCCAGTGCTACTGATGCTACTGTTGCTACGACGAGTGCCAATCATCACTACTGTTTGTGCTGGAGGCCAAGGAGTTCGTCAAGGCTGAGAAGGCCGGACAAAATGTCAGGGGTGCCTTGGAATTGTTTCAGACACTAGCAAAACTCACAACTCACCCCGGAGCTTGAATGTAGTTGGCAAGTTCCGAATGCTGGTACCCAGGATCCCGAGCTGCCTAGCTCCTTTGCAATCTGTCTTAAGGCAGCCAGCGACGTTGCATCGAACTGGTGTGGAAGCCGGGGACGTCTTGGAAATCGACCCAACTCGCGGCTCCAGGTGAGAGGTGTTCGTGGCATCAACGTGTTGGTTGTCACCACTCTGAGTAGTGATGTCTTCTCCCGGCTCCTATCTCCAAAGTCCATCACTGTTGTGTTTCGCTGATATGATGATGACTGCGATACGGGTGTCTTGGTATCTTTCATGATTATCATTGTTGTTGGTTTGGATCAACTGCCGTTCTTTTTCTTCTCGTGCTGATGACTGCCGTCTGATGGCATTGATCGCGGATAGCATGCATTCTTGACACTTAAGCTGGAGGCGTCATCAGGTTCCAAAGCTTTCCTGTCAAAGCAAGACCAAGGCCCGTCTGGACCCCAAGACATCAAATATCCCCAAATCTCCAAAGCCAATCTGCAAGACTCTGAGCTCCTCAGCACCACGCCACCCTGGAAATAGAGGATTCCCATGATGTTGGATTTCAGGGGTGTTCCGGGGAGCATGCAGAAAGGTATCACAACCGCAGCAATTGTTGCTACAGTCCCAGTCGTGAGCAATAGTCAATAGTCAATGGCGGTGGTGGTTCAGCGTGGTGGTGATAATTGTGACAGTAGTATCAGTAGCACAGCCATAGGTGGTAGGTGGTATGTAGCAGGTATAGCCTCGTGCTAGTCGTACCAGTCGTACCAGTCGTAGTAGGGAGTGGGCAGTGAATTCCCCAGCCCTCCCGCCACAGGCCTTGAGCACCGCAGCACTGACGTGCCCATATCCGATTTCCGACTCCCTCCGGGCTTGAGCTCTCCGCCACTTGGTAGCGATTGGGCACTCTTTGGATGCGAAGCCAACAGCTGTTCTGCAATTTGGCCTTGCGGACACCATGCGTGTGCGGATTTGCAAGCTGCAAGCAACTGCTGATACTTCTTTGTTTTTGGTGTCTGTGTGGGGGGTCAAGCTTTTGACATATTTCATATTTCGTGAGCCCCGCTCAACATGAGGATTTCCATCAGCTGTCGCGGGCTTTCCCACATCCTGAGGTCTGGAGGTGCCAAGAAGTCCGTGAGCCACGTCGACTCGGAACGTTCGACTTCGCCCAGCACGTGCAGCGACCCTGTCACTGCTGCTCGTTGTCCTCAGGGAGCAGATCTGCAGGAAGGCCCGCGGCAGAGATGCCTTGCCGACTTGCCGGTAAGCCCGATTGAACTTTGAATTGCACCGACGAATGCTGCTACCCTGCTCGTCAACAACCTCAATAATTACCCCAAGCAGTTCAGTCGTGAAGCAAGATTTCCCACCCTGGTCCACTCGGACATTGCGCGGTCCTTCGGTTCAGTCTTTGGGCTTGGCGAGCTCAGCTTGCCATCTCGTTTGTGCGCCTGTCAACAAAGGGCTATTATGTGTCGGCCGCTTTTTTGCACCCCAAGTCAAGAAGCTGCGAAGGCGTGCTTGACCTCCTGCTTGAGCAGCATGGAGCTCTCATCTTCAGCTTCTGAAGATTTCTGAAGTGAGACGGCTTCAAGTCGATCAGTCGGTCAAGGCAGCACGGCTGTTCCTTCTGCTTGATATGCACAAGTAGCAAGGGAGGCTCAATGACGTTCAATGCTCCTGAACAGCCTCTTATATAGCCTTATACAGGGGGATGTCAGGAGGCCCCTTCAGGGAGATGCTCCTGCCCTTTGCTTCGGCATTTCAGATGCGTCACAACAGAACGACTAGGACTAAAACCCTGCACTATGCCGTTGCTCTTTGGGCTAGTGCCTCCCACGGGCTCGCAATGGATCTTGCAAGATTAGTCGATGGAGATTTTCGGCTGCCAGTGAACTCGTCAGCTCTGAGACGTCCTTAGTTAAGCCAGAATCTGCTATTGCTGTTGTTGCATCTTCTGCCCTCATGCAGCTGATCGGCAGGGTTTGTTGGTCTAGAGTTGATTGGGTTTCACGTTGCAGCGCTCATTCTCGGCTAGAGCACGCGCTAGTTCCAACACCTTGCCTTGTTTTCAGCTTTTCGAATGTTTGTCAACCAGCAGGCCCAGAAGATGCGGCCAGAGCTAGCGCGTGTGCACTTGGTTTGGCACCTTGCGGTACCATTTCAATATTTCATGTCTGTGAGAAACAACGACAGTCCATTTCAAATCAGAACTGAATCAGAAATTGATTGTGGCCTCCCTAGCAGCTCCTTCGCTGTGGCTTGCTTTCCGTACCCCAAAAGTTTTTGAAGGCTGGAGCGCAAGCATTCCGATGATGTCTCGAGCAAGTCATGAAGGCCCAGCCCGTGAGGGCTCCTCTCGCGCGGTTTTTCAAGGTGCACGAGCAAGCGCTCAGGCGGCACCATTTCAAATGATACCTTTCAAGACAAGGCTGGTTGGAAGGGGAGGTGGCAAGAGCTCTGAGACAAGAAAGGCACTCAAGAGCAGCCACAAGTCGAGTGACTGCAGAAGCACTGGACTAATCTGCGAGCTCGAGCTACAGCACCTCCTGTCCAAGCCAGTCAGAGAGCACACGTTTGGTCTAGGAGCATGAGCCTACAGTCCAGATGCAGGCCTTCCCTTTTTTGCCTGCCTATCCCAGGCCAACGCGCCTGGTCTTCCACTGCCGTGGGTTGTGCCATTGAGACTGATAAGTAAAGGTCTGACTACTTGTTCTGTGAACAACATTTGCTACTGGCAGTGGCACGGTTGAGGAATCCATGGACAGCTGCTCCGAAGGGTCCCTCGAAAAGAGAGCGCGGTCACAAGTACACGTGCATTTGCAGCCTTGCAGCATGCACGAGTGACCAGCGCAGCGTCACAGCCACTCTCCTCGCTCCAGGGTTACATGCCCGTAACAAGACAGCCCATCCGCTCCCGAAAGGGATGTGGCGACTCCTGCTTCCTAGGATGCACGAAAACCCTTGTTGTTGGCCGATATCGAACATCGGGCATCGTCGTGCATCAGATGAATGCAGGATGACAGCGCCTTGCTTGGCGTGTGTGCGCTGCGACCTATGCGGTCGTGTTGTGGAATAGGGCGCATGTTGATGCAGCTACACGGAAATCCTACAAGGCTGAAGCTGATTCGAAATCTGAAAGAAATCGCCTAGAACTAGCAAAGCCGTCAAGACCCGAACGCTTCGGTCTGGCTTGCGGGGTTTAATCAAAGTTGAATGCTTCTTGCTGATGGTCTTCAGTCATAGCACAGCGAAATAGGGCTAAAGCATGACATGTCACCCCAACAATGCTTCGCAAATTCGTATGACTTAGTCACGAGAGACTTCACAGAGACAGAGACCCTTACCCTCATGTAGCTGCAGGCAAGCACAAATCCCATTCTCGATTCTTGCCGGGACTGCGCCACACTCACATGATCTTCAGCGGTGAGAGGAGCTGGAACACGGGACTTTGCTTCAAGATTGCCTTAGATCCGCATTTCGCCCCTGCCCGTGTTCTGGCTGCCTCTTGAAGTCCGCAGTCTCAATACATGTTTTTTTGTTTCCAAAGACCGCCACCGGACGATGACATAGCAGAAAGGAGGAAAAGGGTGTCGCGAGGCTGCGTCACATGCCAGCACGTGCAGATCACCATTGTCCAGGGAAAGGTGTTCTTCTGGAGTTTTTCGCTTGAGCGTCTCGAACTTGGGGTGTTCCGCCCACGCTACCTTGAGGGAAACTCCAAACCCAAAGCCCCACAGCCCTACGGCCTGAAGCATGTTCCAAGGCCTAAGACCCAAGTCTTGCCGGTATTCGGAAGGCAACCACAGAGGTGGTCAGCAACGTCACGGAGGTGCCCGAGGCCTGTGTCTCAGTGGTCTCCATGGGTTGGTTCAACGACCCTGCGTTGAAACGACGAGTTTGAATGCGCTTAGCATCACGCCTGAAGCCTGGCGCCTGAGAGGAAGCCTCCACGCATAACCCCTTCCAGTCCTGCAGGTCCTAACATCGAATCCGGGCAAATCGTGCCACTCTTCTGACACTCTGCGCGGAAAAGCTCTCGTGATAGCTGTGTGGTTTAAGGCTTGAAGGAGTGTCAGGTCAAAACCCTGGCAGGCTCACAAGAAGCACATGGCTGACAGTGAGAAGGAGAAGGGCAATGAGGCGATCGTACATTAGGAGGGAAATCTCAAAATCTTGCAGCACGACACGGTGGAAGCATCCGCGTTGTCGGTCAGGAGATGTGGCCTTCTCGAAACATTGAAAGCTTCCAGAAGGGGTTTCAGAGCACGAGTCCCCTGCTTTACTGTTCGACACGACGATGCCTTCTCAGGTATACCGGCTGAACCCTGAACCCGCTGATTCTCCAAAACACGTCTTTTCCCTCAAGTTCCGACTCAAAGAGGCCTTTTACTCGAAAGACTTCTCTGAAGCCGAGGCGACGGGCAGCAATGAGGGTTTAGAGGGCAGAAGCTGTGCAGGATATGCCGTTTGACTTCGTGTCAGCTCAAGGCTCATGATCTCTTTGAGCATGAGTGCGGGCTGCGATAGCCGGGACATGTGCGTGCACATGCTCTGGTTCGTGCATGTGCAGATGTGAAAGGACGCAGAGCCATATGTTGATAAGTCAGTTTTTTCTGTGTGTGCTTGTTTGATTGTTTGCTCTCTTGCTCAGCTATGTTGCAATGTGTCAGTTCCGGGTGAAACGGTGCTGTTCCTACTGTTCCGCTTCGATGCATGTGGTGCTCGTAGTGAAAGACTCCGACGCGATGCTTGCTCGTAAGTGGCAAGCATAACGATTTTCGCCTTTAGCGCCTGGCGCTCTGCGGCGGAGGCTTACTACAGCAGGAGCTTACAGTACCAAGCAGACGATGCCTCTGCCTGGGCGAACAGGGCACTGGCCGCGACCTCGGTTGCCGGTCCAGGGACAATTTCTTTTGCACCCAGCGGCGCATATTTTTGGAGCTAGACTTTCGACGTCACAGTCGTGCTGGCAAACTTAGGACTCCGGATAGGCCCAAGGTTCATACAGTACGGGGAGGTCATTGAGGCTTCTGGGACCTTTGGCATGACACCAATAGTTTATATATGTATATATACATTATGTTCATATGTATGTATAAGTGTGTGTGTGCATACACACATACACATGGATACGCATATAGAGATACACACACACACGCACATACATGCACACTTATCATGCGGACTTGGTTTTGCCATCCTGCTGCTTGGAACTCCTCATCCTCGGCTGGAAGATGGTGACCTCCGATCGACCCACAGCTGAGTTCTGTTTGCACCAGACCCACCCAGGTTTTCGCATAAAGGATTTGGATTGAAGCAAAGCCCGAAGTCAAAGCTTGCAGCAATCACATTGGCACACCTGTGCAGCTGTGGAACCCTGTATGGTTACTGACGGCCAGACTAAGCGTGCACCAATCAAGGATTCCGACTTCGTAAGCTGGGTGCCTCGGACTTGGGCCGAGGTGAGACTAAAGCTGAGCAATTTCCAGGGTGCGCTGGAGGAGCCGGCATCTCCCGGGTTTGAGATTCAGGAGTTCACAATAGTGTGATTGCTATGATGGACGGATGAACGGGATGATTGGGGTGATAGCAAGCATTGACAGGCAGCAGTGCTGCTTCGTGCCATGTTCCAATGTGGCAGTTTGCATCAGTCTCCAAGCATGTATGTCGATCGTGTTGCGACTATCACGGTTTTCTGACAGCCCCAAGACCATCATGATTGCTCAATGAGGCTGAATCAGAGCGTTCACGCTAGAAGGCTTCATGCACAGCACTTGATCTTCTATGCCCCGATTTTGGGGTTGAGGGTGCTTCTTACATCTCGATGCTTAAGTTGCCCTGGGTGCTGGAGGACTGTGAGCATGCCCTGGCGCTGAATGGCAGCCACGTGAAGGCAACGCCGACGCTCTGGACTCGAATGTCGCCATGGGTTTTCCTACACGCAGTTTCTCAAGAGCAGAAAGCAGGACAGACAAAACGCCTGAAGAGAAATCCCTGGCTCCTGATGCAAGCCGCCATGCAGCTTGTGTTTGAGCTTCTGTCTTTCGAACTCTAGGCAGTCTCTGATCCTTTCAGCAGAAGATGCCGTGCACGCTCTCTTAGCTTGTGTGTTTTCTGCAGGCACTTCATCGGAAGGGAAAGGCACTTTACGAGCTGCAGCGCTTTGCTGATGCTGCGGGGGAGCTTGGGAATCGATGTGCGCTAGCTGTGGTCGCTCATACGTTGTCGACAATGTCTCTGCGACGTGCATGACACCAACGCAGCAGAATTGATGTGAAGCGCAATGCTTGTTTGCAATCTTGGAACTGGAAGTGTAGGGGAGAGTCTGGTTTTCGCGGCCCTCGCGCTGAGGGATATGGGCGGGTTGAGAGATTCAGACTTGTTGGATCTGTGTGATCAGTTGATGTGTTGAAGCTGTCGGTGCCAGACCTCTCGTCATCTCTCGTCATTTGCTCGATCCGTGAATATTTGGCCCAAGCTGCTTATCGTCCTGCAAATACTGTGGGGCTGTAGAAGTTCTGGAGCCAGCATCCCAAAAGGTATCCCGAAGCCAAAGATGAGCTCTGCCGGGACCTCGAGCTACACATGTATTGCGACCTGAGAACGTTCTATGCCGAAAGCCCGAGCTCCGTCAAAACCCTGCGAAAAGACTTGAAGCCCGAATCCCGTGAACATTTCGACTTTAAGAAAGCCCCGAGACCCTGGCCCTAATCCTTTCACGACTCTTTGAGCATAGCCTCAACATCACCAAGAAGCTTCGTTTGCAGACTCCCTCCCGCCATGCGTGCGGTCCGCAGCGTTCGAGAGCAGCGCGGTGACGCGGCCTGGGCCGCTTCAGCTTAAAACTAAACATCGACCAGGGGGTGCATGTGCTTGTGCTTGTTCTCGCTGTAGTTATTATTGTTGTTCTTGTTGTTCTTGTTCTTGTGCTGGTGCTAAGCCTCTCGGCTCAGGAAAGGTCAGGCTAGTACAGTTGCCTTTTTCCTTTCTTGCCATGGCATTTGTCAGCGCCTGAGCAGTCCCGGTCCCAAGTCCGGGAGGGAGTGCTAGATTTACAGCTCTCTAACATCTCCCAGAGGTGAGGGTTGTCGGTATTGCGAAGCCGACAGGAGCCGTACTCAACATGAGTGCTGCGAAACAGCCTAGTGGTTCGACCAAGCATCAGCCCGTTCCTAAAGGGAAGGGTAAACGCTCTTATCAAAGGGCAGCACGTAAAGCTCTGCTTGAAGGTAGTGCGGTCTACAAGGGAAGGACGATGTCGTCAACAGAGCTTGGAGTTGCTCCGGCACATGTAAAGCCCACCAATCCCGGCAAAAGGACTCGGCCTTCGAAATTTACAGAAGATAAGAATCTCAGCTATCTATCCTGGAACGCAGGATCTCTTACAACAGCAGTTTGGGAAGAGTTACTCTCCGTACTGCAAAGTGCCGCATTTCAGGATGTGAAGCTGGTAGCAATCCAGGAAACGCACTGGAGGGGCTCTTGGCAATTCAGCAAGTCAGGTTGGCACGTGATCAGCTCTGGTTCCACAGGGGAGAAGGGAGCCGGGGTCCTCATAATGGTGCACTCCACGCTGTGCAAGTCACAGGATCTTCGCTACAACGAGGTTGTTCCAGGAAGAGTTCTCCAGGTCCGGGTGCCGAGCAACGGCATCTCACTGGACGTCTTCAGCTGCTATCAATACGTTTGGCGCTCTAAGGAGACAGTTGCTCAGAATAAGGAAACCCGGAAGCAGACCCTTCACGCCCTAAGTAAGTCCATCCGAGCTGTTCCCAATCGCAACACTCTCCTTGTGCTAGGAGATTTTAACTCCTCGCTCAAAACCGACAACAAACACGTAGGGCCATGCACGATCCAGGCTTGCAGACTCGGGCATCGCGGATCTAAGGATCTCCAGACCCTACTGTCGGAGCACCAGCTAGTCGCAACCAACACTTGGGGAGTGCATAGACCAGCCACCCACGAACAAGGCAATTCTGTTTCACAGATTGACTTCTCGTTTGTCAGGATTGCACAGTCCCAAGGCCCCGCCAGGTTTTGCCGGCCACTAAGGACCTTCTCAGTTGCATCCTGGAGGGATGGTAGTAGGCATTTCCCTCTTCTTGGTAAACTGAGGCACAGCAGGAGATACTCCGCCCAAGCCTCAAAACCCTATGACCAGCAGGCAATGGAGGACTGCTACAGACACCGTTCCCCGAAAATACAGGCATTTGCCAGGGAGGTAGACTCCCTCCTTCAGGATCATCCCCAAACCTGGCAGAGTCTCCATCAAGCAATGAACTCAGCCCTCGCGACTCACTTTCCCAAGAGAAAGGAAGCAGCACAAAGATCAGATCTCAGCATCTGGGAAGAGCGCTCTGCGTTGCGCTCACTCCCACTAGCAGTCAAGGTCTTAGCAGAGTTCTTGCCCGAGCTGCAGGTCCGTATGGTGTTCCGATGCTGGTGCACGTTTTCCCAGCAAAGTGCACAGGCGAGGGTAGCAAAGCGTCACAAGCAGGAGCGGCGGCGGCAGGAAATAGATGAACAACTCCAGCAGGCAGAGCTTAAGTCCAAGCAGGACGGGAGTCATTCCCTTTACAAGGTAATCAAGCGCTTCAGGTCGGGGAGGCCCCAGGAAAGAGTTCAGCTTCGTGATTCTGAGGGTCGCTTCCTTACTGCCAAGGAAGAAAGAAGACAATTAGAGGAATATTCCCTAGACCTGTTTGGAGCAGGGGATGACTTCCCGCTTTCAGGGATACAAGGCAGCCTGCACATTACTGAGCAAGAAGTGCAAGAACAGCTTGGCACAATAAAGCTGGGCAAGGCGGTTCCTAAAGAGAGTCCTCCCGTAGTAGCCTGGCGCTCCCTAGGTCCCCAAGCAATCCGGCTAATCTCGGACACCCTTAATAGGGAAGTCACTGCAGGAAGGCTCTCGGACAGTGTCACCTCGTCACAGATCTCCTGGCTCCCAAAGCCTCCCAAGAAGCCAGACAAACCAACCTCACTCCGTCCGATCGGGGTGATAGCACCTGAGGGTAAGGTCCTAGCCGGACTCGTGAGGAAGAGACTCAAGTCTACCCTCCAGCTAGCAATGACCGGCGTCTCTCAGTTCGGCTTTGTCCCAGGCAGGGGCACAGAGGAGGCTATCTGCAAGGCCCTCACACATGTGGACCAGGCCAGGTTCAGACAGGCCCTCACCACCAGGGCTGCAGGTAAGGGACAACAGGGGCTCAAGCTCAGAGGCAGTCTCACCATGAGCGTGGACATGAGCAAAGCCTTTGACACTGTCAACAGGCTGCGACTAAGAGAGGCCCTGGAAGCCGAACAAGCAGATCCTCTTCTGATAGAGGTGGTAGGCCATCTCCACATCAAAGCCTTGTACAAGATGACAGCCAGCGATCAGAGCTTTGAGATAGCCACACGCAGGGGAATCAAGCAGGGATGTAAGCTAGCACCCTCTTTATTCGCCTTTGCATCAGGGCTTCTCTTTAGGAAGCTCTCTGGGAAAATCAGCCCAGCAGAACTAGTGAAGCTCCTCACAATGTACGCTGACGATAGCTTGATCCAGTCGCATTTCGACTCTGCGGCCGGCCTCATGACAGCACTAGGGTACTGCGACATGCTTCTGGATCAGCTGGTAGAGCTTGGGTTCAAGGTCAATCCGTCCAAGTCAGCAATTCTGCTACAGCTGCAAGGGGGCTCAGCCTCGACCATTAGGAAGAAACTCTTTCGCCAGGTCGAGGGAGAGAAGTATGTTGAACTCCCCTCGGGCAGGCTGATATCGCTGCGCTATCAGGTTCCATACTTGGGGGTCATTCTTTCTTATCACGACTATGAAATGAAGACTCTCAAACATCGGCTGTCATCCAGTAAGCTTGCAATGTCAGAAGTAGCCCATGCAGTTCGGAACCACCGAGTCTTATCAGACAGACGTCGTCTGTCGATTTGGACAATAACTGCGTGGGCCTCTGCTCTGTATGCACTTCACGTGGTGGGGATGACACAGCAGGGATTGCAAAAGCTCCATTCACACATGATGTACCAACTCAGATTCGTCCTGCGGAGTTACTCCCAGGAAACGAAGGAATCAAACCAGGAGTTACTCCGGAGATTACGGATTCCTCACGTGAAGGAGCAGCTGCAAAAGAGAATGACCCAGTTTATAAAGAGACAGCAACACTCCGATCCCCAGCTTCTCCCACACTATAAGTTGCGTGCTGAGGCAGTTAGCCAGGCATTGGAAGGCCTCTCCACGGACTTTTCCTCGCACCATGTGGAGGATAGGCTTCTGACCTGCGGTGAATGTGGAGCATGTCTCTCTGGCACCGGAGCACTTCGTCGCCACCTGCAGAAGGCTCACCCAGATTCTCAGCAGTGCCTGAAAGGACCCAAATTTGATCCTATTTTGCATTCAATGCCAGGGTCAGCAACTTGCATCGCCTGTCGAGCAACATTCCGAACAGTGTTTTATCTGCGCAAACATGTCGAAGCATCTACCTGCCCTAGGGTAGAGCTTTTGCTTAGACAGCAGGAAGAGCTACCCTTAGAAGCACAGAACCGGATCTCACTCGTAGAAAGTCTACAGTCTGATGCCCAGGACAATCCAGAAGGCGCCGCTCGAAATCCGGCGTTCCATGATTACCTGATGGAACACTGCGCACTCTGTGGTCAGGTCCTCGTAGGCCAGAAAGGAGCCAAACAGCATTTAAACAAGCAGCATCCTGAGGTGATGGCCAAGCTGGAGAAAACTCTCCAACCAAGACTCAATCAATTCAAGGTCTTCTTCCACAAAGGAGATAGCTGTCGATACTGCAAACTTCGTGTGGATGCCCCGGGTAGACATGCTCAGCAGTGCGTTCCATTACTGCAGGTGCACGTACTGCAGGAGGTAGCGCGCCAGCAGCTCAACAAGCAGCCCCGCGAATATACTCGAGCAAAGTCCACGGCATCGGCGAAGACAGTCACACAGAAGCCTTCAGATGCAACGCCAGGAATTCCTCACCCCGTGTTTAGACTGGAAGGCTTTCTCCTGCTAGCCAATACTCGCAACCACTGCTATGCCAACTCAGGTCTGCAGTGTCTCCACTGGCTATCAGATCCTTCAGAGGCGACTTTTCAAGAGGCATCCCGGATCAGTCAGCTTGCGAGAATAACCCCTGAACACAGAGTCTTCTCGGAGCTCACCATGGGCTGGC